GCCTGAGTGACCATTACCAAAAGGCAGCATAGGTCAAGTAAAGCTTCCTCCCCACCAAGCAAGACAGCTTGATGCTATCACACCTCCCACAACAGCAGCAAGAGAGGAAACTGCAGCTACTTCACGCTCCAAAGGAGGACTTCTTCCAGCCACCCCGCACACAGTGGCGACAAGTTAATTATATACATATCCAACAAAACTTGGTAACTGTAACAAAAGTAACTATGTAATTATACTTTACTACTGCTTTCCCTGGACTCACTCTGTAATTACAAAAGAGTTGCTAGGGAAAAACAACCCATTGGTTTTGCCATGAGCAATTAATTCAGGTTACCAACATGATCGTTACACGGGGCCAACAATAACATTGGCATCCAACTGTGTTATTCATCTATCGATTGTGGCTCCCCAATAATGAATGCTCTGCCTTACATTACACGTCCACAAGCATGAGAAACAAATTGCATCAAAAACCCAACTGCGCTACTGAAAAGAAAATCCAAGGAGCAGATCCCCATTGTGCATTATAATTCCTTTGCCGTGAATTTTGTTTTTGGCAAGAGCACAGAGCTGACTCTCCTCTTGCTCTGCAGGACAGGTGTGTGAATTAGTACCTCTGCCACCCACAGACCTCATGGATAGACCAGTTCCCCCATTCCTTGCATCTGGTTTTCTTATTCCTGCTCCTCTTCAGCCACCATCTGAACCCAGACTTGCAATGATTCTGGAAATCAAGTGAGCTACAGTAAGAATATGAGAAGGTCATATGCCAAATGTCAGCCTGGGAGACTCTCAACTAGCCTTTAGATGAAATTGAGATCCCACTGAACGTAATAAGAAATTTGCTAACGTCTTTTAAGCAGCAGAATTTCATCCCTGGCACATTCACCTTTACACCATAGACAACAACCTTAACAAGTCTCAGTGTCATTTTTTCATCACGCTATCTCAAGCCACTGTCCCAGCTGGCTACTGGCTGGTTTGGTGCCCCATCTAAAACCCTCTTTATCATTTTTATGGCAATTAAACTCAAGAGCCTGTCTGCCTGGCAGACTTCTGGCTCTTTTATTTTATAGGACTGTGTCTGTCTTGGTGATCTCTTCCATCTATGTAGCGTTTTTGACCCATCCATCTCTGACCTACAAATAAAAACAAAGGGTGGTTATTTACAACGCTGAAAATGGTGGGGTAGCTTGTCTGGGGGATTGAAAAGACAGGCAAAAGCTCCCTAGCATTCACATTGGTTGTGCTATTGCATATTAGAAATGCTGTCAGAAAAGCATATTTAACTTTGCGTTATTTTCTCAAGCTGGAGGTGGGGGTGGGGGAATAGTTACCACAGATCCCCGAAATCTGAAACACATTTAAAACAGCACTAGAAATTACAGCAGGAGGATCAGCCCTTCCCATTATTTCCTCTGCACATTCCCTGTGGGAATTCACACCTCCTCTCACCTACACAATCACAAAGGCAGGAAAACACAGTCCAGAGGCCAGAACAAAGTGGCAGGTGAATATAGGAGCCCCCATGCCAACAGCAGTCCCCAACGACCTTGTTTGGCAGTGGTCGAGAAACAGAAATCAATTCACAGTCCCAGGCAGCTCGGAGCAGAGGAAACATTTATTTCTGCGGGAGGTTTCTTTTCCGCTGCATGCATGGTGTAGGAATGGGAACAATAGTTTGCATTGTGTCTTCTATCCCAGGTTAGCAGAATGCAACAGAGGAGCCCAAAATTGCAGGCTGCTTCATGAAAATTGAAGCTTCATGGCCCCAGCATGAGGGTGGCCTCATCTGCCAGGGCCTGGCGGTGATGGGGCACGGAGGCTTGGTGCAGTGCCGGCGGTGAGCTGAGTGGAGACGCTGCCAGCGACGGTGACAATGGCACCCGTGCAGCAGCAGCTGCTCCGAGAAGGCACCTGAAAAACAAGGAGGCACCAGCGAGGGGGGGAAACATCTGCAGCACTGCAGCATGTGGCTCTTGAGACACCCAAGGCATTGCTGGGGAGAGGGAGAGCCGCAGCAGCCCTCGGTGGGCGCTCATGGGCATGCATGCCGCTGCGATGCCTGCCTTGCGCCAGAGGCTGTGAACTGCCTGGGGCATATGGCAGCGCTACTGGCATGGCCAGCTCTTCCCTAGGAGATGCTAAAGCTCGTTGGCATAGGGATGCTTACCGAAAACAAGCAGTGCACGAGGGAAGCGCAGTTGTGGAAGTCTGTCCTGCCTCAAACACCAAACCAAAGTCCATGCATCCGCATGCCCAGCTACCCTGATGCATGCAAACGAACCAGTAACACATTTGCACTACTAACATATTTTTAAAGTCTGCTGGTGATAGTTATCACTTCTCACTTATAGAAATGGCCTGATAAGAGTCTGGGATAATTTCTTTGTGCTAGTGAGGAAAGACAGACACTGGAGAAAAGGAAGAATGAATATTTTTTCTTCAGTGTGAAGAAAAAAGTAACTTTTTTCAGTGTGTAGACAGTAAATAAATAAAAAGGTTGCATACCATATACAGTTTATTAAATGACAGCTAAAAGAGCCATGATGAAACAGAACAGAACAATTACTGAACCAGCATCAGCCTACTAAACTACAGTACTGCAAGTGAAGTCTAAGCCAACTCTAGATGAAACTTCTTGGCCCTTAAAAACAAGGCTCATAGTCTAAATTCAGTGCATCAGCCAGACATGTAGGCTTCATACCATTAAGAGGTGCTAACTGCAGCCTGCAGGGATTCCTCCACGTGAACATGTTTCATGTTCTACCTTGATGCCAACGTACGATGGCTCCACGCTCTCGCCTGTATGTGCTACGTTAATGACAGCTGTCGCAAAGGTTTCAAGAACATGATAAAAAGTTTGTGCAATTCAATTCTTGATCATTTCAAGTCTGAAAAAGAACAAAAGGGATCCTCAGATATTAACATAACACTTCCTGCTACAGCCGAGGCAGCTTCCAGCCACAGCAGCTTCATGACCTGGGCCGTGCTCCACAGGCGTCCCATCCTCTGAGCCACCAAGCAGACATCACCCACCCAAAAGATGCCCCACAACCATGAGAGTGCACCAAAGCCATGTTACTCTGTTTCAGACTAGTCAGAGTTATGGGGTTAACAACATCACATAACTTACCGTATTTGATTCTTCAACATCCAATCTTTTCCCCATTTTCAGCATCCTAGATTTTTCATTTTCTTTCCCCATCATATATGCATCACATCTGTACAAACAAGTGGAGATTTAAAGTGTCCCTGTAACATTTTACTTATTCCCTGACTTAATAATAAAAAGAGCACTGAATAGAAAGGCTGGAGTTCAATTTCTGGGGTCTATTGCCATTTGCAAATTGCACTCTCCCTTAGCTCCTCACTTGAAATACAGCCACCCATTCAGCTTTATGCTAGCTCTGGAGCAATAAACCTGCACTTTGCCAGAGGAATTTTAAATCGTTGCACACCAATGCAGAGATCTTTAAAAAACAAATTTAAAAACATAAAAAGTGAGAGTTGAAGTGAAACTTCTGGATTTTACTAACTAGGTCTGCAAATTCTCTATCAATATAAAGAGATTTTTCATTTGCTTTCAGAAGTTAGGAAGAAGAATTTTATTTAATTTCCCAAAAGGCCCCCAAAATATAAAACGTGGTGAATGAGAATTAAAGAAAGAATCCACCTTAAACGGAAATCTTTATCATTTTGACACATTTAACAATGAGACTCCAGGAGCCTGTAACCTCAGCTCTCTTCCTGGAACTGGTTCCAGGAGGATGACTTGGTCAGCTTTACGCTGCCATCAGTAGCACCATGGCTGCATCAGGCAGCTGGACGGGAGCCTCTCCTTTGCACAAAGGGGAACAACATCAGCTGTGTGCATCTTGCTGTGCAGAGGAGGTTTATTATTTGAATAGGTGTCCTGGTGCAACGTGTAGGGCACAGAGCAGGAGTCCCTGGAGCTCTCCCGTGTCCTGTTGCATGCAGCTTGTCACTTCCCCGCTAAGTGCTTATTTTTCTCCTTGCTTTCTTTGTTTGGCTTATCGCTTTGGATTGAGACTCCCTGGAGAAGAGCCCATTTCTATGCAGAGCAAAGCACCTCAGAGGCCTGGCTGCACCTGGATTTCTAGGAGCTAAATGAAGCAATTATAAATTGTTACTCTCATTTTTGGCAATTTCATGCAGAAGCTCTGCTTTTCTCCAAAGCTAAAGGTCACTGCTTAATTCAAAATTTGTATTTTACTTAAAATTAGGGACTGGGGAAATAATGCAGAGGCAGTGGGCCCATTTCTGCTCTAGGTACACCCTTGTCAACCTGAAATAACTCCATGTACACAAAATCTCTACCTTCTACTTTTTTTCTGGCCTTTTTCAGGGCTATTCCAGGGGCTCCTACTGCAAGAACAGCTTTCTATGGTGGCCAGTATGGATTAGGACAGTTTGTAAGTTGTTGCAGGATATGGGGCCAGCACAACTCAGCTAGTGCTGAGATCAAAAACAGAAAGATAGCTCGTATGGTCTTATTATTGAGCGCTGCAGAATTATTCCTGACTAGCATAGAGGGCAGCAGAACTTGATCAAAGTGCTTTATAGAAAGATACAGCGTTTGATAATAAAGTATTCCACTATGCTAGCAAGTGTGCAGTGAACTTCTTAAACTCCAGCTAAAATTATATTAAAAGTTCGAAAAACTGTGCCTGAAATTTAAAATAAGAATATCCTGCGTAGTAGAAATGTAATCGCGGACAAACTATAGCTCAGCCAGGCTGCTAATATTATGCTGGAGAAGGAGATACTTGGCCACATTGAACTGGACACTAACACTTACAGCTTTGGAAGCACTTTATTTCCTGTCATATCTGACATTTGGAAGTCAAAGCTATCTGAAGTCCTTTCAATAGAGGGGTTTATGACATACCAGATGATGTGCTGATTTAAATCACTGCAGATAGAAGTGTTGCATACATAGCTACCTGCAAGAGACAGTGTACATTTTAGCAGAGCACAGATTTTACAATTAATTATGGTCATTGCTGTTTTTATTATTAATGTGTTTTGAAAAGTAAGATGTTTAGCTAAGCTTACTAATTCCTTGAAACTCAAATCATTTAAGCTGTCTAACCTTGTTCAGGATAATTATTTCTATCCATTATCCATCATGCTAAAAAATGACAGCTCTGGGACAAGGAGGCTTTTCAAGCAAATGTTTTAAGACAGTGTTTTAGGTTGCAGGCACTGGCAAATGTTAATTTAATTAGATAAACAATGACTCAGAGTAGCTGTGCTATACTGGAAAGAAAGATGGGAGGTAATGGGGGAAGGAGTTTAGCAGCTCAAAGGTCCGAACAGTTTTTTGGGGACCAAGAACCTGTCTCTTGAGCAAACATCTTGCCTAAACTAACAGAATCGAAGGAACTAGTACCTTTTACTTTCACATCATTGATACTTTAAATAAACAAACAAAAAACTTATTTATGCTTCATTTAGGGTCTGACAGCACACCAGTGTAGGGGATTCAGGAGGTATATATGGTTTGATGCTCTTGTGCAGGTCGCCAGGAGGAGGAGATGTAGGATGTTCACAGTTAGAGAGCTTCCATGCGATGGGCTGCAGCAAGAAGGAAGGGGAACGGGCCAAGAGTCGGTGCAGAAGGGTGTGAAGTACAGCAGGGCATGCTGACTTCTTTCACACATAAGCAAGGTGGATTGCAAGGCCAACTTTGGAATTTATTTAAAGGATTATTCAATTAATTAATAAGCCCTTTATTAAAACTAACAGCAATTCATTAGCCTAATCTTAAAACATAAAAACACAACTCAAATCTTCAAAAGAGCGAAGATTTTTGCTCTTTAAAGAGCAAAACTTTAAATGGTTCAGGTTTTAGAATAAGGAGGAAACACCCCCAGTTTGAGATCTGATATGGGCCTGATCTTGCTGGAAATTCTCTGGAAATAACAATTTTCAGGATTCTTGGATCCTCCTGTTTCTGACCTAACTGGACCTATAGAAAAACAGTCAAGCCTAAATGCAAAATTATATTTCGGCTTGAAAAGATTTAGTTTGTAGAGGCATTTCAGAGAAATGGAAGATTGTTCTTTCTCTTCTCTACTGTAGACTTGTCCATTCCTTATAAAACAATGGGGCACATTATCTCCACAATAAAGGCATTATTTTACTCATATTTGAGGTGCTAGAGCCCAATGGTGACTATGTCCTTCATATTCATCTGTTTTCTCTCTCTGGTAATGCTGGACGCTGATGACAGCTGAAGCTCTCCATGAATATTTTGAAATTCTAGCAAAAACCAAGCTAACTCCACATTTGCAACATTTTCCTCCTTTGGTGTCCACCTCCTGCCTTCCACTTCCTCTGTACGTGGCAGTTCTAGGAACTTCTGCACACTATCAGTCAGGCTTATTCTTGTTTTAATCCATGCAATTTGAACTATATTTATTGAATTAGTTTGTCCTAAATGAATGCTACAGAGTGAAAATACTGCAGAGGCAAATGCTTGACAGCGACAGAGCTTCTGGGTGCTCACAGTGTCAATACCTGTGCAGCTCTGAGTGGTTCCTGCATTAAGTAGCTCAGGAAGGGATCATAGCTCTTCATATGAAGTCTTAAAGGCCTGAGTAGTCCAGAGGAAATGACACCAACTAATAGCTTTTTTGTCCTTCAAGACAACTTACTCCTACATACAGTTGCACGCACACAAATCACTAGATAGGAAGGTGCTCAAAAACTAAGTAATACCACCACAACTTTAATATGGCCTTTCCTTTGTGTCTATGTATTACATATCTTTAACCGACAATCACACACCAGTTTTTCCACAGTGCATGCAATGAATGACATCACTTTCTGAACAGATATTCAGTATTTCATTGTTTAATTGCTGTTTAAAATGTAGCCTTGGGCTTCATTTACAGAGCGCTATTTCGACCTTACTCTCAAGACAGTATCAAATATTACATCACAGGTTTTTCCAGTCCCAATTATTAAAGTCACACAAAATTATAAACTACTAGGAACATAATCTTAAGGTGAGATATATTGAATAATCTCATGGTTGCCACTGGCCCACTCTGTAAGAGCAGAGCTAGTACTCTGGAAACAGAGAAGAGCAGCCACAGGGAGAAATAAAGATTAAGACCAACAGGCATTCACCTTGTCTGCGTCAGATGGGATTTACTTGAATTTGCTGAATTCATTTCTGCCAAGTCACATCATGTGTACTACCTATCTGAGTAATACCTTTAGTAAAGCATTCTGTGAAAGCGTCCACCGGCCTTTGCCACATAATCACACCATCACAAGGAGGAACGTTGTCCTCCATCAGCAACCTCTATCTCAAATAACGCCAATTCTGCAATTGCTAATCCAGGCCCAGCACTGAATTGTATCATTCCATTTTAGAGAGGCTGCTCACTGCACAGGATTAAGCAATTATAAGACCAAGCCCTCCAAATGTGGGCCTCCAGGTGTGGAAAACAGGTCTCCTGATAGCTCCTGTGAGATATCAAGACTTAACCTGGAATACAGTAAAACTATTCTTATCATCGTGTGCAACTGCTCTTACATTGTGCAATAAAATTTTGAAAATCAAAGCACTGAAAAGATTTCCACTGAGGAAAGAATCCCTGCACAAAGAATCCCAAGTCAAATACCTGTTTTTGAGTTTCTCTATAAGCAAAGAGAGGAGGTCACAGAATTTTGAAGATGAGATCCTCATCTTCACCATGAAAGTCCGTGACTTGCAGAAGAGAAGCAGTTATTGGAATTTCAGGCCGACCATCTCTCAAGTTCTGCACGGTGGTTGGGCTTTTCTTCAGAAGGAGTTTTGGAGATGATTTGTCTTGTTCCTCCACCTACACAGCTTTACGTAGGGAAACAGAGGGGGTGGTATGAAGGGAAGAAAGAAGAATATCATGTAACATTTATTAAACACAATTCAAAGTGTTTTAAAGAGAATGCTTAAAAATAACCCTATCTGCATTTATTTGTAATTATCTGTTCATATCAGCTGGAACTCTGATGTTGTGCTTTGTCCCTTGATTTTCCTCCTCATGGCTTACTATTGAATTATAGACTATTATTAATAAATAGCAAGTCCACATGCAGTGGACTCACTGGTACCTGCAAGCTACTGTCTTCCTACAGAGAAGGAGGCAGGTCCCACCAAGAAAAGTTTTTCCACTACCAGACCAAAGAATTACTTGGGTAGCAGCTCAGTGTAACATCTTCTAGTAGTCCAAACCTAAATGCTTGCTTGTCTGCGCACATTTGTTCTGTGTGCGGAGCAGTGGTCTGGCCAGCAACTTGAAGCAATTACTCTGCCTGTGCAGCAGAAACCCACAGCGCATAGCACTCCATCCCAAGTCAGGAGCGTGTGGGCCACCTATAGGTCTGCTGCTGTTTCAAGCTAATAAACATTTATCTCAGCAACAGAGACTCAGACACTTGCTCCAAAGGTCTGAGGTTTACTTGCCGCTGCCTGTTGTCCCCAGCTGCAGCAGGAGCTGGGCAGACCACAGCTATGGCACCCTGCTCTGTGCCTGCTCAATAACCGCCGCTTACCTGCAGCAGGCAGGTGCCTGCAGGTAATAATGAAAACTGGCTCTTGCAGTGGTCGAGGAGAAAAGAGTTCAGGAACGAGTAATAAGCTACTGGCAAAAAGAAAGCCAGTCAGCTAGACTCTTCAGATTTAAACCCAGGAACTGTTCAGCTGCTCTAATTCCTGTACATCTCAGGTCATGTTCCTTCAAGCATTCAGCTGACTGAAGTTTCTTTCTGAAAATAGACTAGAGACAGAAAACAATGGTATTGCAATCCATCAGTGTACAGTCCCTAAAGGAGGGACAAAGCTGACCTCACTGTCAGCATCATTGTAATTCAGCCAAGTGTGGAGTTTTATACTATTGACATACTGATCTATCAAAACTTTCTTCACTTGTTCTGATAATTTCAACTCCTCTGGGACACACACCTTCATGCCACTGTCCAACTAATTAGTTGCTTCACTGGCTGCACTTTGCAGTTCTTCACTGATGGTTCCCCATCTGACATCTTATGACAACTGATTAGTAAACTAGGCCATGAGTTTAAGAAATATGTAATTTGGGCACCACTCACTATTAACTGTTTGCCTGCTTGCCTTTTTTCTCCCCTAAGAAATTGTTATCCCTACAAAGTAAATATCAAATGACAAGAAAAAGTTTGTCAATCGTTAATTTTACAAAGCAAGATGCGGTAAATCTTAAGGTCCCTTTAGTAACAAGCACAGAAGAGGCAATAATGGAATATATGTACTTACTGGAAAGCTAAATGCTATAGAAGTCTAGATACTAAAACAACATCCAAAATTGCTAATCTATCCCATAGTCTTGAGCCAGAACCATATGCAAGCTAATTAATTAATTAGAATTAAGTCAAAACAAACTGTCTTCACCCCAGGTCCCCCTGCCAACAGAGCAGAAAAGAAACAATAAATAAAACTTGAAGGTTTAAATGGGATGAACAATTCTCTCCAGGTTAAAAGGATATCAGCAAGCTACAGCACCACAGTGGTTAAATGTCGTTTAAGATTTGACTGCATTTGGTCTGGGATTTGCTCTCACTTGAGAGCTGGTCAAACCAATCTTTCCAAAACACTGACTTCTGAACTTTTGCCAGAGGTGCCTCTCTCTGGTGACCATGAAGGCTGATTTACCAGACGACATGTTAAACCTGTCAGCTCCGAATAAGCAGTAGAGTGTGCACCCACAGTAGGGAGGATGTTTAAAGGCACAGTGTTTCATTTTGTGGGTGAGCTAGAGGGTTTGCATATATACCAGAAGACGTGCAAGTATTTAGGTGCAGCTGTGGGATGTGATTGCCAGCAGGTTGGTACACATCCCACCGAAGTCAGGAGACCTGCTGCGATTTAACTATTTGTCCTTCTACTTTCTAAAATACAGAGCTCTGCTCTTAGAGTATGACACACAACTCAGCGTTTGGGAAGTCTGAATTACTAAAAAGATAAAAGGGGGAGAAAGAGTAATCTAAGTTGCCACAGAAATTAAACGAGAGCCAAAATCTTAGAGATTTTATTTACACACAGGCCACCTCTGGCTAAAGGACTCGGGTAGTTTGTGATCTAAGCCACTCATAACTATATGTTCAGCCTTCCTGCTAATTTTAAGGACATCACAGCTATCAGTAATACAGGCTACTATCACGTTACTGCGGCGATTAGAGACATTCCAGAGTTTTATAAGAGATCAGCAGTCACCAGGGACCACCGGTGATCCTGATTTCACTATAAAGGTTTGGAGAAGAGTCACAAATAACTGGTGCTACTCTTGAACCAAACAGCCAAAGCGCAATATAGAAATGGAGTGTTCCTTTGCTCCTTCAGATAGACAATTGTACTGAACAACCACCTCTGAAGAAATCGACTCTAGGTACATTAGTAAACTAAAGTACAATGTGAACCTCTGATGTCTAATTAAAATAGCTAGCCCGGTCCTAATAGGGAAGCTGAAAGCTTGTTTCACTGCAGCCTGTGTTCTAGTTTAGCACAAAGTGGATTCAGACCAGACATAGAACTGAAAATGCTCTTCTGAGCCCCTTCGGCCAATGGAGGGGAAGAACATCCGTTCCCAGCCTGCTGGGTCTCTTCGCATTTACACAACACTGCTTATCATTAGACACTAGCTTTCTTACCTGGAAGGGCATCATGAGCAAAGGTTGAATCTGTACCTTTGTCCTGGGGTGACTTATGCATCAAACGAGACAAGATATATCTCTGTCTCTCAATATTTATATGCAATCAAGCTTATGCGGTCTTAGCGCTGGCAAGGCACAGAAAACAAACACCTCTATTTTTCACTATACACAGCCATGCCATTACCAAGAAGCAGTTCCAGTGCTGAGTCAAGATGAGCTCAGATATACAGAACAGGTAACCTAAGCAAGACAGAAGATGGTAAGCAGAGAAAAGAATCTGGAAGAGTTTTTGGTTGAAGCTTGCATTCATGATTGAGTCTACAATTAAAAAAATAAGTGAGGAATCCACAAATACATTCAGCTCTCACAAAGCAGCAATTACCACTTCCAATCCTCTCCAGTTGGCTAGGAGACTGCATCCCATCCTGGCAGATACTGACCTGGCCTTAGTTTTTCACACCTTGGTCACTTGGCTGTATTACAGCATAACGATATACCTGGGCATGAAGCCTGCAACACTTAGGAAACTCCAAATAGTACAAAATGTTACAGAATACCTCGTCAGTGACATGCACTGCCACAAATACATGACATCTATCCTCAGCTGTCTACAATAGCTTCACATTTTTAATTTGGAGACATCCTCAAGTTTTTGGCCCTTTTCTTCATGATGCTCTTTGGCCTGAACTTAGGATATCTGAAAAACTGCATGAAACTATTGGATAAAAACCACGGCCAAGAAATGTGCCTCTCTCACACAGTAGAGTCTTTATAACAGGTCTAAAGCTTATCTCTGTGGAATACTGAACTTCTTCATGAGCATGGAATGAACTTCTTGCTTAATCATAGATGATTGTGTGTGTTGTAAACAGAAATCATCCCCCTCTCTCAGCCATGAGCACTTGTAATTGCTTGATGAATATGTTGTATAAAAATAAATAAATCAGAAAAGCTTTGCAAGAAACCAATGAGCTCACCTCCAATAAGAATTCAGTTACAGATATTGCTCTTAGCTGTCATGGGCTCATGCAGAACTTCACCACACTCGAAACAGATGCAAATAAACACATTAAAAAAGTTGCGAACCCTTGCAAGACAGTTCAGCAACCTGTATTCAAAGGATATTCCCACATGATCTGTCTTCCATATCTCTCATTTCTACCCAGAGTTAACCGCAAGAGAATTTTTAGGGTTTTTTTCCAGAAGAACAACTATACACCTAAAATTGATTAAGCTGGCTACAGCTGGTTACATCTCACAAAATTCAGATCTAGCTCCTCCCAGAACTGAGGATTTTGAGGAAAGGCCAATGAATGTTAGGTATAGTATCAGATACACAATAGATATTAGCCACTTGTAGGTGAAGTATATATATATATATAAAAAACCTCATTAATTTATTCATCTACATCAAGAATTCAAATGTAAAACTGATAAAAATGACAAGCCTTCATCTTATTTATCTAATACCTGAAAGAGTCAAGAAGGGCACATGAATAGTCCTGCTACGTTCAGAAGAGTCATAAACAGAACTTCCTCAGAGAAACCATAAAGCACAATTTTTCAAAGAAACTTGTTTTTTGTGAGCTATAAAACTATGTTTGGTCAGAGTTTTACCAAATAACTCAGGCTGGTTTTTGTCCTATGTAAGCCTTCCACGTCATGCCCTAGAAACAACACCAGCTGTTAATTATTTATCAGCTGATGAACATTGGCCTGTTCATTGCAAAACATTATAAAATAGATTAGGCAGCAAAGCTCAATATGTATGCAAGCAAGGTTTTTTGCTCCATTTTGTGTGTGACTTGATTAAATAAGCAATTCTATAATTGGAGAAAAAAGAAGCCTCTGCTTAGTTTATAAGGATCAGCTTTGATAGGGATGTGATTTCAGAAACTGTAATGGGCCCATAATCTAAGATAAATACACTAAAAATCAAAAGTTTCAGATTTTGAGCTATTTGAGCCTTTACTGCTGACCCAAATCTGTCATGAAAATGAGCTCTGTCTCAAATCTCCAGTGTATCATGGTTTGAATCAAAATGATTAGCGCTCTATTGAAAGGGAAAGCCTTAATTAGCAAGGAGAAGGCTACAAGGTTCAAAAGAGATTGCTCTCTCCATCCTTCCTCTGTGATGTCTCAACCCTTACGCAAAACATGATAGTTTCCTTGTTAGTTATTATTTTGTGATGCATCAGAAGAGCACCGGAGACAGTTAGTAACTCAACTGCATTATAAGTTCCCCTAGTTCCTCTCTTACCTGTCCACTGACAAGAAAACCATGACTGACTGTGCACAATGAAATAAAACCTAGCAATTTGCCTAGCACTTCCATCGTGCCTGTATTTTCACCCTATTAACATCCAGCTGTGTAAATTGGCCCTAATATAAAACAATCTCCTTTCTGTACAGCTGGCTCTTCTGGGGGTGTGGGGTACCTGTATAGGAAAGATTTTTAATGGGCTGTGCAGGTGACCAGCTGAAGAACCGACAAAGAGGACCCCTGGGCCCCAACAGTGTGCTTTGTTCGAGCAAGCACAGGTGGTTTGGCATCAAGGTGCTCAGTAATAAGCTCCTCTTGCCCATGTTTATCCACTTGACCATTAGCTATCACACTGGCTCCAATCTTCTTGCTGGCCTGCAGATGTAATCGATTTGGGGGTCTGACCACGAAATTCTTGTTCTTGTACTTTGATCTCTGCCTGATGCAAAGCCTCCTTAGCATTTTAAGGAGGAAGGTGATTTTTCAAGCCAAAATCAGATATCTCAAGAGACCTGTGTTCATTGACCGAGACACAATAAGGTGAATCCTAACCCGGTGCATATTTGAGTACATTTATTGAATTAAATGGAGCCTCACTGATTCACACCAGCTGAGAAAAATACTAGAGTGCAGGATTTGAATGGATTTAGGAGTTGTCCTAACTGCAAAATCCTTTAAAGTTTGGTTCACAGGCCTGCAAAGGAAAGAATAGATGGGGACTTTGTGAACGCACATCGAAAACACCGTCCCAAAGGTGGTAAGACACTAGTCAGGACTTCATCTTATTTGTTGAACTTGTGCCAGTTACAAATCACTGTATATTCCAAGATTCAAACAGCTGGAAACTGTATGAGACCGAGGACTCTGACAAGCTTTCTGGAATTTCTACCTGCAGTGCTCGCTGCAGCAATTTCTCTCACTTTCAGAGCATTTGGGGTATTGTAATACCGTGGGTCAGCAATCTCCAAAGAAAAACTTCTAAGCTTTTCAGAAAGTCATAGCATGTTATACCCACCCTCAAAGAAAACAAAAAAACCCAAAACAGAAGCACACCAGCTCACTTTTAGGAAAGAAGGCTGGTAACAGTGCGCTTGTCACTTGTTACTCTAAATAATAATAGAAAGTCATATATTCCTCTAATTAAAAAGGAGCTAAACTTTCAGCACAGGTCGTGGGACCAATAGTTTATATCCTTCAAAGTAATATGTGCATTTAACAGTTCTAAAACATTGCAGCACTGCACTGCACAGCCAAACACACAAAATAAACAAAACCCTCAGAGCGATCTTCCTGGAAGATCTGGCCTCCAATACTGAGCAACATTTAAAAGTATGATTAAGGTTTGACATTAGTGAGGCCTACGTTCCTCCAATAAGAACCCAGTAGCTGAATAACACAGGGGCCAAGTCCAGGCCTCTTTACCATGAAGCTATGCTCAGACTTGCCTGAGCGAAGATTGCTGGAAAGGGGCTATCATTCACAAAACCATTTAAATGGTTAAACGTGCTACACATGTGGCATAGTGCTCCTGGAGTGATGAATTTAGAGTGCTGTATTCAGCTTAAATAATAAATGTTAGTGGGTTTTTTTGTTTTGGGGGGGATTTTATTTGTTTGTTCTTTTCTTTTACAGGGCTTCTACAGCCTGTAAAGTGTCTTCAAGTACACAACATCCCTCATTGCTCTAAACACATGGTCACCCTGACCTCTGGGCTTTGGTGCCCAGAACTGGGGCAAACTGGGGCAAACTGGGGCAGAAATGGGGCAAAAAAAAGTATGTTTATAAAAATATCCAGTGTGAGATACCCCCAAACTGTTTTCTAACAGCTTCTAATCTAAGAGAGGCTTGAACTCAGATTTTCATAGGTACTGCTTAGATCTCTGAATGCTCTTCGTGTTCTTAATCACGTCTGCTCCAGAGATGAAGCTATGAATAATTAACTATGCCTCCAACATTACAGTCATAGATTATGGTGGTGGTGACTTGTGGACTGCCATGCGCAGCATAAACCATTTAGGAAACTCTGTTATCCACTTTCCCTTTATATTTGTCTTGCAATCACTTACCGCTTAAAAGGGTAAATCTTTCATAGCTTTAATTAAAGCATTTAAAATAATTTACACTGAAATTGTATGTGCTTGGGTCTGTCAAAATTGATGCTTTAATAACATGTCATCCCTTTTTTCGATTGCCCTGAAATCTGTTAAAATTACCACTAATCTAATTGGGAACAAAGTTGTCAAATGCATGCAGCTCTGACAGTTTGTCTTTCTGCAAACTGCCGACAGATTGCAAGTTACGCATGTGTTGAGCAGATGGGTAAGTTAAAAGGAACACAAAAAAAAGCAATTTATTAAATCACCTGGAACCAGCAGCTCCATTCCAAAAATAGTGAGAATGAAATATAGCAAGAGCTAGGAGAGTTGGCACTGGAATATGCCAGAAGGTACCAGTTACAAAACAAGATAAACATTTTGAGAAGCCTCAGCTGTGTTGCAGAATAATGAGGCGTTATTTAACCCGATATAGATTACCAGCAGAAATTAATTTAGGGTGCAGGGTTTGTGCGAGTGTGTGTGTGTGAGTGAGTGTGTGAGATTTTTTTAAGGTTTTTTTTTTTTTTAATCCCTGTTTTAACTCCTTCATTCCTGAAAGACAAGTTATCCGTCTCTCTCTCTCCACCCCAGCCCTTCCCTGCAAATCTCCCACTGGATCTGCTTTAAATCACTGTTGGCAGAGGCGGGCAGTGGGTGCCCTCCTTCAGCTCCTTGCACACAGCCCCTTCCTTGGGCTTCTCTCCCGTTTATTGAGAAGAGGCCAAATCCAGCCTCAAACACACAGCTGGGACTGTCACACCAGCACAGCCCCTCCAGCCTACCGGTCTGCATTTTATCTCTACGTGGAGATAATCGGTATTTTAAATCTTCCCTGAACAGATAGAGCAAAACATTTCATGTCCATACAACCAGTTGGGTTCAGTGAGGGCTCAGACTGCTCAGTCTTGCTACTCTTTCATGAAAGGGGATGGTTTATTCACATTACAGTAGAATGACAAATCCCCACTGTTTTACGGCCATGACAGCCCAAAGCAGACAGGTCTCTGCCCCAGGCAGCAGCAATTAGCTGCAAATGAAGATGACCTCTGTGGCCATTACATGGGTCTGGTCCTCCCCCACACACATACATCCTTTTACTTATGTTGGAAGGCCCTCAGGACAGGGAGCATGTACTATTCAGTGTTTCTACAGCGCTTAGAAAAAAAAGGCTTCATTCTTGGTTGGTCCATAGGCGCTACTCTATTCAACAGGATTAATTATTAAAGAGAAAGACAGGGATAAAAACAACAGCGAGGAAGTACAGAGAAGCACGCATGATTGACTGCCTCTACCCACTGATGCCATCCAAAGAGGATGCTGGGGAGAACAAACTCACGCACTTCGACCAGTTCAACGTTAGCTCGGAGGAACGGTCAAAGGCACAGCACTTTAGTGGTTCTCGCTAATTTTCAAAGGAAGGCCTGAAGTGCCTGCTCTTCCTCAACATCTAGAGAGGCTGTGGGCAGGGAGTTACTGCTGGGCTGGGCCTTGCAGACCTCGTGCACAGCAGGAGAATGGATCATTTGTGTAGTCCTCTAATCTCATGTATTGTTTTTGTGGGAAAACTGCACCAAATCCTCTGTTCAAAGCACCCAGATAGGCAGAAGAGAGGGAGGACAAACACCTCGCAAGACATCACAATACAACAAATCAACAAGATACTCACCCCTACTCTCCCAAAAAAGAGATGAGGTCCCATGACCAAGAGGTATATCAGAAAAGAGACCCTCTCAGCAACTTTATGAACTAAATTTATAAGCCACAGAGCCAGTCTAAACGGTTATAGCAGCACTTCAGTAAAGGTAGATATACTGATTTAAACCAGCTGACAATCTTTGGCCTATAATGCAAAAGAAAAGGTAACCGTTCCCAATAAGCAATGAATTGTTTCAATGTTATGCATGTGTTTAGGGAGGAAAAAAGATCATAAAAAGAAACAAAAATGGGAGGCTACAAGCATGCCTGTTTATTTCCCTCCCTCCCACACCCTTTTTAAACTAAGGAATAAACATTTTTACCTCTTCTGTCCTACGGAAATCTTGGGGAGAAAGCTTGCTCAATTTTCTACAGTTCCAAAATATTTCTACCTGCTGGAGTAAAGATATATGTGCAGCTCTCCCAAACACTACAAAAGTGATGGCATTCCTTGAGTAAAATTGAGATTTATAATTCTCAATGAACAAGAAAGATGACAACCAAGCCCTAGGTAACGTTACTGCACTCAGGATGCCATCAGGCAAATTATGATCCTTAAAGCAAAATTAAAAGGTTATAATGTAAACTAGATAAGAAGAATAATAGGCCTGATTCTGAAATCCTCTCCAAGCAGTTTAAACTGGGACTAAGCATAGGAAAGTCCTCAAAATTCTGCCAGGATCAATAAGAGAGAAAAATTAAAGCAGAGTGAAAACATCTGAGATATTTAGACCAAGGTAGGGCCAGCCCCTGCATTCCTCTGTTACAGCACAGAGCAGAGATGGAGACAGAAGGTCCTTTTAAACAACATTTGTATCTCCATATCATGTGCCCAAAAGCCAGAGCTTTTCTGATCCATGTTTGGTTGCAGTAGCAGACTAACGGCCGCTTCAGAGCTGGACTGTAGCAACAAACACGGCAAAACCACGTCTCTTCTTCCTCCACGTGCCACTAACCACAGTGACTTATTCTGGGGCCCTTCCACGAAGCTGCTTCCACCTCTCTCACCCCCCTCCTTGAGTCATATACAGGGACACTTTCATTTTTCCTTTCACTACAGGTTTAAATATATATTTTTTTCCCCTATATCCAAGTGGGTCATGAGTTAGAATCAGTGATTTATTTAATGGTGGTTTTAACCCCACTTAGAAATAGGCTGCTTTCATGATTTATTGATTCCTTCTTCCCCTTGTTAATTTGACTCATTTCTTAGGAAATTATTCATAGTTAATCATGGTAAGAATAAAATTAGTTATAGTGCCCACTTTGCTGCAAAGGGAGCGTAAATAACTTTTAAAGCAAATCGGAAAGAAAAACATGCTAAAGTGAAAGAAAAAAAACCCGGAAGAATATATATAAAAAGATGATATTCCAAAGGGCGCAGTAAATTAAATCTCTCTACTGTTACTGGATAGAGTAACTCAGAAATTTACATTCCACAGGAGCATGGCTTTTACAGCAGGCTCTCGTCAATTGAATTTGCCATATCTTTTAAGAAACGCACCATTTGGAAGATAAAATCTCCCACCACTCTACCACCACTGCCACCATTCAGAAGATTAAAAAACCCCGCCAACTCTGTTGTGCGCCTTTTGTGCCCACTAGAGGAATGTAAAACCATTATATTTAAGTATCATAATGGCCAACATATGCTTTTTCTTAGAAATGACACCACCATCTGGATTAAGTTCTCCTGATCATTTCAGACAATGTTGCGATTATTATTTTTTCCCTTCAGGAGAAAGAACTGCCCAGAAAGCAACAACGATTTCAGATGGGGAATTTTTGCTTTTCCTTTTTGACCACTGGCAACCTTGAGAAACACGGTACACTCTTTATATGTACTTAAATCATTTGATTTCACTTGCTAAAAGCCTGCCCAGGTATACCTCAATATGAAGCCTGCAAGACTTCTATTGCCTTTGGCCGTACAACTTAACTATTACAGTTAATAAAAGTATGTAATTACTGTAATGATAAAATTACATTGTGTTACTGTTTGAAGCAGTCTCTTCAGTACAACCATATCGATTGTTAAATACTGTACTTACTGTTTGGTGCGCAGTGAACAAGATGCAAGTTTAACCCTTAGCTTGCTAAGGGCTTTTAAGTACACTGAAGTGTAAAAGCCCAAGCAAGTCTTCTCACCTGAATGAATCCTTACTAGCCTCATGGCTATTGTCATGAACATCACAGACCTTCTGGGCCACCACATCCAACTGGCTGTAACTGGAAATGGGCACGCCGGGATAATTGATGTACTCAATCTGACCATGCACAGGTGGCACGGAGACAGCGTACAGCAGCTTCTCGGGTTTGCTAGTGCCATCTGTTGCCATAAGAACATCTGTCGTCAAGGTCACCCTGTCACCCTCTGTTAAAGTTACAGGTTTGGCGAGTAGAACAATGTCACCTAAAAATAAATAAATAAATAAAATGAAAAATCAAAGGGAGAGGAATTAAAAGGGGGAATATTCCTTTTTATGTCCCAGATCAGAAGGAAAAAATAGTAAGTCAGTCCTTTGGTTCAGGGGAAGGAGAAGTTGAGGAAGGAAGAGCATGGCAGGGAGAAATCAAGGAAAAAATGTATCGAAATAGCTTGAGAAAATTTTTTTTGTTTATGTTTTACAGACAAACAGGACATTGACAAAGAAAAAGCCACAGAGATAAAAGATTTGCTTAAAATGCACCACATTCTGATTCTCACTTCAAGGCTCATGCTAAGTAGAATTAGAACCCGTTTATCTAATCACAGCCAGGGTAAGTTATAGAGGAGCATTGGCTGCATTATTTCTCCAAAATATTGGAACCAGCTTGGATTTTCTGTTTGGGTAGAGAGAGAACGACCCAGTTGCTTAGAAAGAACAATTATGTTAATAGATCCAAATGAGCCAATGGACAGAATGCGCTAATGAAGGAAGCATTAAGCACAAACACTGTGTTTTAAGCCGATAGTGTTAGGCGATGCTGTAACCTCAGCAACAGAGGTTCTGTTTCCACTAGATTTATTTATAAAGAGCTCCACGATATCACCCCAGGACCAACACAATTTTTACTTATTTACAAAGCAGTAGCCACAGTAAATTAAAGTCACTAGAAAATTGAACAACTGTACTTCTCAGAACAGAAATAGAGATGACTTGCCTAGTCATAACCCTTTCAGCCTTTTCTATCATAACTCTTTTTGGTTTTAAAAAAGTGCTTGTATTGAAGTGGCAGCACAACAGTTGACAACATGATACAACAAAACTGCAGAGAGTCATACAAGCCAGTCCTCAGGCTCAAGAGACCTGACCTTCAATTGCAACGCAGTAGTCAAAGGCAGAAGCAAAGACATCATTTTATCTGATAGTGTTCAAAAGCAAATGGATAATGTCAATCAGTTTCTGTTGCTGTCGATTAACTTGCTGATGACAATATACAATAGTGGCATTTGTGAATACACTCAGCAGGACTTTTTCTGTTTCTTGCCTTCTTATCTTGCTGCCAACTGACTTTAAAAAACAACAGGTTCCTATTATATGTAGCAGGCAGCCCACAACATCTGAGAATAGAAGTTGTCTTTTGTGTGTGTGTGTGTGTGTGTGTGTGTGTGTGTGCGTGCAAACTCTGCACTAAGTTCTGTGCTTTCCACCCAACTTGATAGTTCACCTTTGATGTTAACCCTTTTAACATCAGTTCCCCACTGCAGCTGGTGTGCTGCGGAAAACTGATAAATGAGACTTAATGCATTCAGGAAGTGACTAATATCTGAGGAGATTAGTTGAAGGACATCATAGTCATTCACAATATAAATACAATCAGTTAACTTGCCTTCATAAAATAAAAATGTTAATGATGTTTGAGAACAAATTTGGAACATCAAAAAAGATAATTATCAGCCCATCCACTAGCACAATGAATATCATCAAAACTCACCAGTCTTGGAATATTTGGCGCTGGAAAAACTGTGTATGCTGCACTGGAGAAAAAGTTGGGTGTTCTGACTTTTTTGCTTGCATCTTTGAAGGAGTCTATTAGTTTTTATGAGGCCTCAGTGAAAACAGGGAATTGTTTTCAGACTGTTTCCAAAAGAGATGAAGAGATCCAGGAAGAAAGCAAAAGAGAGAGAGAACCTAGAAAGGGAAAGGATGAGATAACACTGCAGGAGCCAGCTGTGGTCTCAGGACATCCACCTACTGTATACCTCGCTCAAGGGTTGTAGCAGTCCACAGCCAAGCCCAAGCTGATTAAGTAGATACAGCGCTCATGTTGACTAATTTTCTCTACAGAAAATCTAGACAAATAAGATTAAATAAAGAGGCAACAGTGAGATAGGCAAAGACAGTTAACCTAACTTTATTTTTCCCATGTGGAAAAATCTTGCCAGGTTTTCCACAGCAGCTTTGAAATCTTTTGATGCTCAGTGCTCAGCATGGGACAGCAACGTTCCCCTACATTGTTCCTTTGAGAAAAGGGATGTTACTTTCCATTACTGTCTGCCACCTTGCTGTATTGACGCTTTAACGATATCTTTAAACAGAAGTCCATCATGCCCTTCTCAGAATAAAACTAGACAATGCAAGCTTAAAAACAGCAAGGACCTTTCAAGAATAGGGTCCTGACCTTGCTAAACCCATCCAAACTGCTCCAGATAGATGTAATGACAAGAGATTTCCCCAAAACCCGCGGCACAGATAAGACCCTCCTGACCCTCAGCGTGGCAGGTTACCCATTCTCATTGGCATCAGCAGATACTCAGCTGTTTAACACTGAGGGGAAAATCAGGCTACTTATGCCCCTAATTGTGAGCGCAGAGATGAAAGCTTTCAAGCCCATACTTAAGCCACACTGATTTCAGTGCATTGCTAAACTGGGACATCAGCCATCAACCTGTACAGTTTGGTTGCCATGAAGCATATATTATTTTATATAACCTACCACAAAGCCTTCTGGGTTTATTAACAAAAGAATAAATAAATACACAATTTATCTTCTACATAGCTTGATAAACTACTTCTATATTTGTTTCTTTCTTAGACCGTGATGCACATCGTGGTCAGGGTCTGCATTGCTAAGTGGATGTGACTTCTGACAAAACAACACGTACGCTAGAAGTTGTTCATCTAATGGCAGCATTTGGCCTCGATGTTTTCTTTTTTGGGGGGGATTTTAGGAAAAAACACTTTCAGATTTAAAGGAAAAACAGAATCAGGCAAAGCAATGCAATTGTTTTCACCTCCTCACCTCTGAGCAGTCGCCAGCTTCCCCCGCAAGTCTCTCCCGCACACTCCTCGGGGCTGCGCCGCCTCTCTCTGCTGGGAGAGCCTGGAAAATTTGTTTGAATTTTTGATTCACTTGCTTAACTGTCGTGGGCTTGAAAGTTTGCCTTGAAATATAACGTTAGTGGGTTTGTGGTAAAAGCAGCAGAGAGGATAGGATGACAAGTGGGGCAGAGGAGACTGATTAAAAGCAGGTGTGGAGGAGGAAGATAGGAGGAGGAAAAAGAGGAAAACATGACTGAAAAAGTAAGCTCAACGTTATTATACATATTGAAAAAGAGCACCCATATATAGAGCACCCACCTGTGCTCGCTTTTTTTTAACATCAATTTTTTTCAATATAAAACAACACATAAACTTTAAAATTAAACTATCAAAACAAGACACAGTATGGCACATACTGCTCCCCCTGAGGTGACAGTGAGAGCACGTGTATGTGACAGATGTTAGTCAAGACACTTAATTCAGCACACGGAGATACTCAGACCCTATAGGAAGGATGGAATAGGACAGGAATGTGTATGAGAACCCATACAGACTTGAAGGTGGGCTTGGGTCTGGCTGCAAGGGGAGCTTTGGATATATTTGTGTATACACACACACACACACACAAGCAAACACAGAGTAATATATAGCAGAGCCCACCGGATCACCTAGTGTGACCTCCTGAAGAGTGCCAGCGCGCTTGCTCGACTCCTGCGTGGAGTCGAATGACGTGTTGCCAGGGCAGAATACAGCCTTTTTCCTTTAACTGGTAAAATACTGCTTTAAGCAAAAAGTATCCTCCCTTTTGAGGGGAAAGGGGAAGGAAATGCCAGGAAGGTAGAGGAAAAATTATGGAGCTGTGTTGACTGCATGATGCTAATTTACAGAGGCTGGTGAACCAGCTCCCTCCACTACACATGCACCCACACGCGTGCACACACGCACACACAGACACATACACACACACACAAACACACACACAGAGCCCCAATTCCACAGGGCTGTGCCTACTTTTTACTACATTTTTACTTGATTGTACATATTATTGTCTCATTAACTGCAAAGCTTTCCAGGGCCCTGAAAGGGAGAGAGCATTAAAATACACTGAAAAGTCCTGGAGCTCAATTAACACACACCAGGGGGCTTGAGGGGAGGGGAAGTGAGGGGTTTCAGCTCCAATTATAAAAGGCAAACTTATCTTTTTTTTTTTTTTTTGGTAATATCAGCTAATTAGACTTTGACAACCAATTAGCAGATTTTTAGCTTTGCTGCGAATCAAGTTAGCACTGAGAAAGGAAGAAGCAAGTAAACCAAACAAGCAAAATGCTCCTCTTGTGCCACAAACATGCTGTCTTTAAAAAAAATATCCACAGGGCCAGATCCTGCACATGATTTATACCCGTTGCAGCTGACTGCCACGATGGTTACTTGTCGATGTAAGCTGAGCGTACGACTTGGCCTGCAAACTTAAGCTCGCCGTAACTCACGCTAACCTGCCATAGAGAAGCACTCTCCAGCCTACTTGCAAGGTTACATTTTAACTTTTAATAACCCTTTTTGCTATTTTTTTCCTACCATCCATGAAGTACCCAGATGATTATTTAGGATTAATGGATTACCAAAAGTGCCAGTTGGCACACTCCTAGTGAAAAAAAAAAGAAAAAGAAAAAAAGTGTAACAAATGCAGCTGTTTACTAATAAATAAAGCCTCAGCTGTAACAGAAATAAATTAGATGCATTTAATTGGTCGACTGCAAACCTCCTCTCTTTATTACAATGCTGCTTCTTGTTATTTTATGATGTCAGGGTACATGGCAGACTGACAGAGTGTTTATGAATCACAGTTTGCAGATGGCACTCCTGGTTTTTCGGCAGTTATGAGCACAAGTAGCATGAGGACTCAATAGAGGGTTTTTGCCAGAGAGGACCCCCTGAGAATTAGCCGCCTTCATTTCTCTTGTGCCAATCTCTCACTGACAGGAGCACTATTTCACAAAACCTACATTCAATAAATTACACCCGCCTGGCAAGAACTTAGAAATATTTAACACTCTGAGGACACCAGTGTCTCAATTTGATTTCTATTCATTTCTAGAGGACGTGAGACACTACTTGGAACAGAACTCGTTTGTGTGCACGCGCATGTGTTTTTCCCCCCAGCTAAAAAAATAATGGTCTCTGTAGCCAGGAATATCTCGCTCTGCCTTCAGAATGATTTCAGGTCTCCTGAGGGCAGTTTACGGTCTTGTGCCCTGGTCCTCCGGAGTTGCCCTAGCTAATGACAGCTTTGTAATCCAGTTGGGAAATAATCTCACATCACTGCACTTGGAGCTCATGAGCTGTAAAACTTCTGGTTTGAACTCCTTCTTCTGGTCACTTCAATGAGTTACAAGCAAATGCATGAGGGATGTGGTCATAATTGTCAACAGATTTGTAAATTTGTGTCATTAGTTATGCGCATAATGGATTTTATTCTAATGAGCTTGTTCATAAGAATGCCAGGAGGAGGTGGCCCCTTTGGAGGAAATAAGCTACAAACTTTGCCCATGCATTTTAAAATATATCAGTGCCACATAAAGGGAAAAAGAACATTTCCTTTCCTTTCCTTTCCTTTCCTTTCCTTTCCTTTCCTTTCCTTTTAATGCACTGCTGTTTTCACTTAGGTAAATGCGACACAATAAGCTACAGCTCCTGAAAACTCATTTCCTACCTTTGCTGGTAATTCTCACAGAGATATAGACACTGTCAGGTGGGGACATGTTTTTTCCACCCATCAAGTAAAAGTCAAAACTATCATGACTCTGTGGGTTCGAGATGTTAGTGTGGAAATATCAGAGGTGGTCCTTGTCCATATCAACCTGACTGAAATTTATTCCAGGATACAACCTTGTCAAAGCTGACACAGCCTGGAAAACAAAGCAAAAGAGTTGGCTCTGAATATAGACTGCTCCTCCCTCCAAATCCAGCTAGAAATCCTGCAGTACTTACAGGGTCAGTCAGCAAGACCTAGTTCACACAGTAGAATAATAAAACTAGTGATGATTAAATCTATTTTTATTAAATCTATTATTATTGAATCCAGTAATAGAATTAGATTTATTCTCTAGAGACAAAGAATGAGGCTTTTAAGCTTGTTCTTTAGGGAAATCTACTCCTGCTTTTCTTAGAATCAACCTGGATATTTTTATTGACTGCATGAGCTGAGTGAAAAAACAGACAAGTCCATGGAAACCTACTGGCACCTTTGCCAAAATGATGTTCTCTGTGTGCCCAGTGGAGTCCTCTTCCTCTAGTCTCCCTCCTCTCTCTCTCTCTCTCTGATCCTGCTTTTCAGCCAACCACATATAAAAATCTTCGGCATGTGCCAAGTACTACAGATGGGTCCATTGTAGCACACCCTAATGTTCATAGCTGACACCCAGGTGTTACAGTTTGTACTTGCTTGCTAGCCAGACGGTGGCTTTATGCCAAGGGGAAAGCACAAAGCACTTAGATACCATGCTGAAAAGCTATATAAGAGAAACTACTAAGAAACAGAAGAGCAGGTAAGAGGCTAACCAAAAGCAAGAGAAGACTGTTCCACCAGCAACCACCTCCTTCCTTCCTTCACCCATTTGCATCCCCTCCCATCCCCACAAAGCTCTGATTTATTACTGGATTACATACAAGAATCTCTGTTCCTCTGCCCTTATCCACAATCACATTGGCTCATTTCAAACCTACTGCTGCTCTGCAAGTTATTTCAGGTCTGGCTAGCAATAAAGCAACTTATTTAAAAGGCACAGGCAGAGAGAGAATGGGATGCCAATTTCTGATGTGCTCGGCTTGCCTGGCCAACGTGCATCGCCTGTGCAGGGCCCATGCGTGTAAAGAGTCAGCAGAGCTCCTGAGCTCACAATAACTCACTATTTGCATACGTTCATGTTGACTTTTTCCCTAAATATTCACTCAGATAGATACCCTGGCATTTAAAAGCTATTCCTGTTTAGTAGCCGGAAAGGGTTAACACCAGTCTCCTTTTTCTCTTCCATTTTCCCTTCCCAGGAGCCTACTCCCCTTCCAGCCTAATTTCCTTCAGTTTAATTAATTTTCACTAATCACAAGTCTAGACACCACAAACAGCAGCTTCACACACCAGGTGACTTGATAACATTTGTAGTGGACAGGCAGAGAGACACAGAGCAATTCCACAGGCCAGCCTCCTGCATGGAGCTAGAGCTGCCTGTGCCCCTACCCGGCTAAAACCCTGGCATGGCTGTGAGCAGATACAGACAAAGCAGGGACAAGGCATCAGTGCAAAAATGCACCCCTCCCACACACCCTTTTTGGAGAACAAATGCTTTTAAGGATTCAGGTGCAGGGAGCCTTTCTGCCATCTGTCTCCCTGGGACTTCCCAGATGTCGTAACGTGTGGGTTTGGAGCAGCACGTACGGAGCAGGGTCCAACGCTTCTGAGATGCGCCAAACCTGCGGCACATGTGGAGAGCAACTGCACGGCACAGGCTCATTCCAGAAAGCATTGAATCTATTGTGCATGTGCTGTAAAGCCACACACTATACAGACGCTGTGGCCCATACGGGACTCCTGGACGTCTGGCAGCCCTTGCTGACATTATCAGAGGTGCTGTTCACGCACGCACTTGCTATGCGGCCCCATCACAGGGCTGCCTTTTGGCCACAAGAAGTCTATACCTTGCGACTCTGTGGTAATTGTGGACAAATCCAGAAGTTCCTCGGTGTTTTTCTTCGATAAAATTTCAGGAAGGAAACAACAAGAAGTGCAAGAGCTGCTCTGACAGCCCTAAGCAAGTTGCCCTTTACTGACCATTTTCGCTTTGCCAACTATTACAAGACAAGAAAAAATACAAGTTTTAAGAAGGTAAGTTAGAAAATATTAGAGATCTCTTGGAAATACCTTGAGAAGGGGTTACTTGAAACATATACAGGGAGATCAGGGCTGCAATTCCCCAGGAAGAACATGAGGGCTTAGTATTGTTATTGGAGCACAGAGGAGCAGAAGTGGTTTGGACATAGCTTAACGTAATTAAAAACTGCATCTTTTCCAACCTATAACCACTTAAAACACATCAGCTGGGGCACCTTCTAGGATTGCTACCATGTTTCTTACTTTTTGGGATATGCAATTCAATGAATTAATATTGTTTATTTCAAGTTCTGACACTAGCTGTCACTAATGGCTATTGTGCTGTTCCCTGCCCATTAGCCAGCCCGAGGAGCTCCTGCAAGGCATCTCAGCAGCATTAGGAGGACCTGCACATATTTTGGATGAGTGTAACAGCACACAAGAATCAAACGGTAATCCAATCAGAGAGCTAACAGCAACCATCCCTAGTAGCTTCTACTTTTACAGAGGCTATGGACCAATTTTTAGTCCTATAAAAAGTACACATTCAAAACCACATAAAATTGGACCAACTGAAAGCCAGCCAACTTTTAATATAATCTCTCTTTCAGTCTAACTCCAGTACAGAATGAAAAAGAATACTAATGAAGCTGTTTGACAGAAAGGACAGTTAGTTCATGCATGCATTAGTGAACAGTTATGGTGTGTGAAAAAAAGCCTTCCTCTCATTTGGTTACAGAATATTGCTGCTGAAATATTTCCCCCCTCATCCCAGTCTGAGATTTAATATTGATATTTATTGAACACAGGCTGCAGTCGTCTCTTTTCATCCAGCTTTGATCAGCTTACTTCCACATTTATGAGAAACGAACAGGATGACAAGCCAAGCTTCTCATTTCAACCATCTCCTACTGCACTTGGCTCTTCATGTAGAAAGCCCAGTCCTTATTACATGTAATTGCTAACAAACATGTTTGCTTATGCTCAGTGGGGAAGCAGTATGCTTAGCTCCCTAGACTTCACAGCTCATATTTAACTCCAGCACAACCTGTGTATTCAGGACCATAACACAAAGCCTCCCTCAGAGAATCCGTTCCTTCCTCTTACAAAATGAATGACTCCAAAGATTTGTTGGTTGGGCACTTAAAGTCATACTTTGAAAAAGTAAATATTTTGCATCGGAAATATATCACTCTGTTTGTGAAGATTTAGAATAATACTGCTTGCTTCATCTAGCAGGGATCAACAGCATCTAAGATATTTAAAGCATTGTACCGTAGCCCAGAATGAATAAAGCCAGCCTCATCGGCCCTATAACATTTTCCAGTTTCTGATCATTTTGCTGTTTTTACTGAAAAAAATTTGTCAGGCAGGACCACCTGACTCTTGAAATGTTTTGTGTGTGTTCCCAATGAGGAAAGCAAAACAAAACAAAATGAAATCCACGCAACAAAGCACATTAAAGTGTATTTGGGTGTTACAAGCTCGACTTCCTAATGCATTCATGATGCCAAAAAAATGGAAGTTCTCTTTTAAAATCACCTTCCTCCCCTCTTGTACTCTTCCCCCTCCCATTTACTTTAGTAGATTATGTGAGACTCGTTAAATTTTATAGCCCTGGCCCCCAAAAAAATCTTACAGTTTCTTACTAATATTATGCAATGACATAATGCCATTTGTAGAGGTGTCACACAAAGTGAATGACTTTTACCGGCTTCTGATGGCAAGGCTCTCCACTTTATATTCTGTTTTATGTAAGCCTTCTCAGAATTTATTGACCTCAAAGGATTTTTCAAGTTGCTTAATTATAAAAGGAAGACGACAGCACAGTGGCTTAGCAAACCAATATAAAAGTCAGTTAAAATGTTTCAGTACAACAGAGAGACGGTGGAAGGAGACGTGTAGCAAGAATCAGTTTCTAGGATTCCTGCTAAAGGGGCAAAACTTTTCCTCTGATTTGCTGTATGGCAGGTGCTGGGACACTGCAGAGAGATGCAGGAGGAAGACTTTTAGCTTGCCCTAATGTCAAATAGGTGTGTCATACTAGCACCAGCCAGGAGAAGCATAGAGGATATGGACTTCTCTTTGAAGCCAAGAGAAGTAGGAACTGAAAAGGAAATTCTGCCTGGGAAGCTGCTAGAGCCATCTGAATGCTGAAGAAAGTTCCCCCCCCCTCCCCCCCCCCACCCTCAAAAAAAAAAAAAAAGTGTGTTTTGTCTTGCTTATCCTACTAATGAAATCAAGTCTGGAACAAAACTATTTCCAGAACATGCCTCATGCCTCCTGCTGCAGGAGCAGACTGGGGATTTCACTTGTCTCCAGGAAAAGGGTCTAAATACTAAAGGCACTGCTACCTTCAATTGCAGATCTCCAGGTCTGGGCACATTGGAGACCACGCAGTGTTTATACCTTGGAGAATCCTTGTCTGCAATGGAAGTGACTTCTCTCAGCTACTTTGACTTCCAAATCCATATTTCTGGGGGAAAAAAGGAGGGGGGGGGAAGGGAGAGACAAAAAATGGTGAAAATGGTGAAAAAAACAAAACAAAACAAAGGCAGTCAACTTCCCATTTAGCAAGGGTTAGCAATTCGCACCAAAGTTCCTTGAGCTCAGCCTCTCTTCATGTTGCACAAAGGTTACTAGTTTCACACACTCTCTGTCCAAACTTCAGAGCATAATTTACGTCCCAGAGCCTCCAATGTCATCCCTTCTCCTCAGGAATGAAGTTAAAGTGCCTGGGAACTGAGAGACTTGTCCAGACTGGTGCTGAAGAAGCAGCTGTACTAAAGAGAGAAGCTCAGCAAAGAGTAGCTAAGAATAGCAATAAAGAAACTAGGTAACAAGAATAATTGAAATATATGCACGTGATGCAGGAAAGGCCATCAGCTTATTTTGTATAAACCTGTAGCAGGAATAACTCTGATGTGTTTGTATAGTACCCAGCACAATGGAATGGGCAGCAACCTCTCCTGAAGCTTCTTTTTCTTGCCTGCTCTTAATTTTAGAATGGTGGAAGAGGGACAGAGCACTACTACTCAAATTATTTAAAGATGTTACTTTGGTCTTTGTTACACTGCATAGTGCACTGTCCACAATCGTATCTAGAAGAGGAAGATCCAGCTGGAAAGACTAAATGCTGCTTAGTAATTTCCCCGTTACATTTTCACATTTCAGGGAAAACCGTATGAGAGAGGGATCTGTACCTAAGCCTTTCTAATTTGTGTGACCATCACTTACTCGGCATGACACCACAGGTCTCACTTCTCTTGGCAGCAGTACAGGGCTCATGCTTTCATATGGATGAAGTATCTTTGAGCAATTTCTCCAATTTATTAAGCATCATCAGGCTTCTCTTAGCATCAAGCAGACAGAATTTTTTAAAAATATTTAAACAAATATGCTACTGTGGGACTTGCCACATATGAGCATGCAATTTTTGTTATGTTGTCCTTCATCCTCACAGGATTTGGTCAGAATACGAGTGTCTGAAATTCACAGCTCTATGCAGGAAGAAGAGCACTGCCTACTCCAGAGCTAACTGGTAAATGCTAACAGTAACATTTTCTTCACTTACATTGCTTCCTATTTAAACAAAAGGGCTCAATTTGCTCTGTGAACTGAGAACATATAAACAACATTTGAGATATGACACTTGCTTCCTACAAACTAGAAAATAACACGGATTTTAAAAGATTAAGTAAGGGTTGTCTCCACAGGGTTGCTCATACTAAGAATAAGTGCATATATGGAGTGACGTGATTCTAGCAAAGCTATTTCACATGCATGAAAACAGAAACACCAACAAGGACCCAATCTCAGGTGAACAACAATGAGGAAATCACAAGGATGGGAGGAAAGCGAGGGAAGACATGAAGCATAGGAAAAATGGGAGCAAGGCTGAAAAGAGCAGGATAAATGAAGAAAAAGTGTCTGGGTCGGGGCTCCTGCTGCAACCGGGCAACTGGGTGGTCAGATGCCTTGGCTGGCACCTCACCTACAGTGCTCGCTGTGGTGGCACAGGCTATTGCTCTCCATGGGTGCAGCTGGAACTCAGCTGATGGGATTTAAGCAGATACACATCTCCTCCCTCACTTTCCCATGGCTCCCTGAAACTCATGTGCCAGGATCACACCGGACACGGCACTGGGTCTTGCTTCCAATCACCGAATTAGGAAGGGGCACCCCAAACGCCAGCCCCTTATTTATTGCAGCCACCTACTATGAAACGTCAGATGTCACAGGGTGACATTTAAGGGGTTCATAAATCTCAGTTGCCCCAGGGCTGCCTCACCTGAAAGTCATGGATGAAAGGCTGGCACCATTTCCCTTGGCAGGAGCGGTTTGAAGGCTCCGCACTGCAGCAAGCCCTAGAGGAAACGCTGGTAGAAAGCAGGGACGTGTGTCCATTTTGTAGCTTTTCATTGTTTACTACTTCTATGAAATTTTTAAAAATATACACATGATGTTCTGGGAATGCAGCCAAAGCCGTTTCAAATGGGTGCGTGTCAATACCCCTCTGCAAGTGCTGCAGGCTGCTACTCTGCTCCAGAGAAGGGCAACTGGAAGCAAATTTTTCAGCTTTCCCCTTGATGAAGGACCCCAGCCAAGGGGCCTGAGATATCTAGGGAGAGCAACATATTATTTCATATGTGCACTGATTTATGCTCTAAAATGAAAGCTTGTATTTATCATTGCAACTAAACAGGTATTTTGTGATCCCATGGGTTTATTATGCTTTGAAAATGGGGATTCAAATCCCGCTAGTGGGAAAAGCCTGACCTGGATAAATTTTCTGTTTCAAAAAACTGGGGGGAAAAAGCAGGGTTCTGAATTTATTGAAGCATTTCCTCTGCCAATTTCTAGGAGAGAAATTCAGGTTGGGAGTCAAGACTGTTTTCATTTTGAAGAAGTACACAAGTAAAAAAATTTAGTAATAGCCATAGTAACAACCACCAAGTATTAAAGTGTAAATGCAACATTGCATCTAACAGAATGTAAAATTAACAATGACATTAATGGAATATTTTCACGCTTCACAGAGGTTCCAGGTCGACTTTCTTCCCTATCTTGAAAAAAAGTTTTATTTTATTTTTCAAGTCACAAGAATTCTTCTGGGATGAAAAGATAAATTCTTTTTCAGTTCTACAAACTATTTTTTTGAGTCAAGGATATGCTGTTACCATCACCACGCCGAGAGGGCACCTGAGTTTTACTCCCACTGTGGTGGTTTTCAGCCTATGGCCGTTAAGATGTTGTAAAACATCTACAAAAAGCAAAGCAAAATCAACCTTCTTTTAGATCAGAGTTGGCATTTCTAGAGGGATTCAGCAGCTCCACAGGATTTTTCTTTTTTTTTCCCCAAGTTCTGAATTCTTAAGAGAATTAGGCCACAGCATGAATTACGGTCATGTGAGTCAAACCACATCTCCCACATCCCATCACATAACATGCCACCAGGCCAGATTTCTCCCTATGTCCTTTGAGCCAATCAATGAAAGCCTATACCACTGTTCTCATAACAGTCTGGTTTTGTAATGCCACTCAAAAGCATTATAATTTAGACTTTTTTTAATGGATGAAATCATGTCAGAAGGCCTTTACCCCTAGTGAGCAGAGACAATTAATGTTACTCTCACTGTAGTATCATTACCGGCGACCAGTTTGCTTCCTCCGTCTTTGAATCAAGGTCAAATTTTGAACCTTTATTTCCAGAGGTGATATTCTGACTCTCTTGAAAGGAATGTGAACCATAACACTGCCTTCAACAGGACTGGGTTTGGCCCTTAAATATTTAAAAAAGTGTCCCATGTTCTTGCCAACAAGATTCATTGTTTAAAGTAGATTAAAGGAAAAAAATTACAGAAGGCAATAAAGCAAAAGAGAGAGCGTGTGAAAAAGAAGCAGTTTTGGTCTAATTGAAGACAACAAAAATTTTACCACTAACTTCAATACAAACAAGCCTCCACCCAGAGACCACAAAACAGCTACTTCTACATGAATGATTTTTACTGGATTGCATTGTGAGGCTTGTCTGTCTCAGGCTGCAGCTCTACACTACATTAACAGCATGGACAGCCCTGTTACAAACTGGTTTTCCAGGACAAAATTTACAAAGAAAGCATGCTTTCCTGTTTATTGTGGGTGGGCTCTGAGGAGGCTGATGGGGAGATGGGTTGCTTCCATTTATCTCTTTTTTTCCCCCATAAGTTGTTATGCACTGCATGTCACTTAAATAGCTAACCTGGAAAGATGAAGGATTTCATCGTTGAATGGCATGATGTAGATGTAAAATGTCCCTTGGACTGTGTGCTTGCCATCTGTCAGCTGCACGGTAAAACTATCCTCTAGGCTTTCTGTGTCATCATGCATGTACCCTAGCATCAGTCCTATAGGAAAGAGAGGGAAATTAAAAGGAAAACCCTGGACACTACAAACTTAAAATACAGTGGTCATATTATTTCTTAATTTAGAAATAACAAGTATTCCAATTCTCCCTGGAATTTAAGATAATAGTTGCAATCTTTAAATACTACAGAATCAGTGCCCTCATGAGCCAAAGGGCCCATCCTGCTTCCACTGAAATAAAGCCTTGTTCCTACAGAGATGCAGCCCTGGATTGGGACCCTATCTTGCAAGCACTGCACAAACCCTAACAACTTACGGCCATTCAGCCGGATGCTACGCCTCTCACATCGTCCTCTGGCCGCTGCTACGTATCACAGCTGTTCTCACACATGACGATGGCTGCACTGCTTCAGATCGCAGGTATACTGCCTCTGACAAGGAGTGTTAGAAGTAGTGAGTGTAGGGTGTAAGATTAGGGTAAGGAATTTGATATTGCTCTCCTATGTTCTCCCACGCTGCAGTGACCTGTGGCTCCAGAGGCAGATGCAATACGTTTGTGTTTAGCAGCCCTGGATGGATTCATTTGTTCTTGCTGCTATTCTTGCATATCCAAAACCAGAAGAATCATGGTTGGCCTTTGAAATCACTCCTAAGTTAACTTGCAGAGCAGATAGCCATCCAAGGCTGGCAAGCTTTGGAGCAGCTCCCATATTAGTCCTTGATTGCTAGTAAGATATTGGCTATTTCTTCAATAAATTTTGGGGGCACTTAAAAAAAGAGTAATACACAATGTGTTCTTGAACATGCATGTTTCGTGGAGCTAGAGGTCTTGTTAAATATCATGCTCTGTGGGCACAGACATAGCCTTTACCACCACGGCATCCAAGTGTTTCACACTCAGTCAGTGGACTTAGCTTGCCAAAACCTTGATACAGTAGGAAAACACAGACAGGCACAAGCCAAATTAAACAAGTAACCTAGGAATTCAGTGACCGCGGTAAGATTTGAAATAATACTCCTGGAGACCTAATGTAACTTTCTAACCTTACACAGATCTTTGACCCATTTTAGGGCAAGCTAATGATGAAACTCGTCAAGCTGTTTATGGAACATGAATAACTAGAACAGGGATAGTTGTCAGCTTGAAAGTATGCAAGCAAAAGGATCCAAAGTTTTCTAAACCTTAGGTGCTTGAATGCACTGGGAAAAAATATTTAAATAATTTTGAATTTCAAAGACTGCGCTGAAGGAAAAACATTCCTAGAAATAAGTAGCTTAATTCCATAAAAGTCATCCTGAGCAACAAACAAGATACAGAAACAAAGTCTTTTCCATTTTCTTGTTCTCTGAAGATTGTTAAGACGTTATCCAAAACTAGGACATCCCATGTTTTCACTTAGATTTTATCTCCTTCCCTAAAGCACATTGATGAGTCATTGTTACCTACTGAATCCACTAGACATGTGCCAGGTTAAGAGCTCACGCCTGAGCCCGACCCTTCCAGTCTACTCTGCAGCATTACCATCAACTGGCATATAGCCTTTGCAGGATGACGTGTCAAAGAAAGAACTCGAACCCAGCCGTGCCTGTAAAGGAGTTTTAACGCACGGTCCGGAGGCTGAATGAACCTCTGGCTCTTCAGAACCAATGAGCAATGGGTTAGTCTTCATGGCCTCAGTATACAATTTATGCAGGTATCTTCCTTTCAAATTGGGGAGGGGGAGGTTTTCTCCTAATAAATCAGTACCAGTGAGGCAATTTCCATTAGATAAAAATCTTGCAAAATTGAAAAATACATCCTGTCCAAATTTCTACTCCCTGTTGGGAGGGTAGAACGTGTCTGCGGGGGGGTGCATTTTTGTCATCAAAAATGCACAGTGGAAGATGTACCCGCGTAGCGGGATTTCAACCTCGGACACCGCTGCTCAGAGCTGGCCTGGGCCACTGTGAGCCAGAGTACCTCTGCGACCTCACTGAAGTGAACAAGATTAGATCAGTTAGTAGCTAAGAGCATGGCACACCCACAGGCATTTTTTGGTTTATGCTGCAAAATAAGTATTTATGGAAAAGTGCATTTATATAACTGAAAAGTTCCATCCAGTTTGTAAGTCTTCGGGACTTAAAGAAGAGGGAGAGGAAATCACAGTAAACAGTAAACTTTCTGACAGTAAACTTTCCAGAGCCTTCTAACACTTGCTTTGTATCTTCCTTCAAGCAGTTCTTACAGGCATGAACATTAAACAATCAGGTAGGTTTTTATAACTGTATGATTTGACTGTTAGTGCTGAACAGTCCCAGGATACCTTTAGCATATTCTGCAATGCCACAACTGAAACAGATAATGAATGGATCTTCCTCCTTGTAACTGCAATCAGTCTAGCCCGTACTCAAACCTTCTCCCCCTCCAAAAAAGGCTTCTCTTTTTTAGGAAGCTTTATTCTTTGCTGAACTCAGTCTGCAGGATTTACTTTTTTTCTTTTTTTTTTTAAATTTCAATAAGGTCTTTTCGAACTTAAAAAACACACACTTTACATTAGCCTAAGTAGTTTGCTTCTCAGCTCCAAACCAAAACCGTTTGTGGGTTGCCAGGGTGCCAAATAGCCTCCAGCCCTCAGCCACTTCCTCTCCCCGCCCCGTTCCTTCTCTCTGCTTGGCAGGCGTGCAGCACAGATGCCAAGCTGGGGAAGGGATTTTTTTTCCCCGCTGCATCTGGTTCCTTAGCAGATTCTGCAGGCAGTTGTGTTGGCAGCTTTGGAGATGCCTTTGGGTCCCTCACATGCTTAAGCTCCTGCCTGAGCTGGCCAGGGCTGCTGTCCCTCATCTGCCTTTGGCTTGGCTGTGGTGTGCCGGGAGGGAAAGTGTGCAGCCTGTGAAGCAGCAGCTCTGGCAGAAGCGTCCTACAGAATCTGTATGGAAGCTCTTGTGGGGGTGAAAATAATAAAAAGGGGGACCAGTGAAGGGAGGAAGAAGGGAACAGGAAAAGGGTTTGCCCAGCTGTTCCCCTATGCTTGTGAAAAAGCTGCAGCATAAGCCATAGGTTCCGTGCAGCACGGCCAACACTACTCTGTCTTCTCCTGGAAGCAAACCCCCAGCTCGTTTTGCACAGAAAATACTGCATGTCTCTAACTCGGCTGGGCTGCTTTCCGAGGGGAGGCTCAGCGCTGAGGCATGCTGCAATGAGCAGTGGCTCCCAGCAGAGGCCATCCGCTGCTCGCGCATTGCCGGCCGGCTGGCCACTGCTCAGCGGTGAGAAATGCATCTCAGCCGGCATTCAGCGCCAAGGGCTCACCCCCGCCTGCAAAACTCCCCTTCAGTGCAAACAAAACGTCCTATGGACAGAGAGGACCATGTTTCTCGCAGACAGGCTGCAGGAGGGGCTGTAATTAATCCAGGTCTCCTAATAGGGTGTTAACACCACAAGACCAGGGAGCCCATTTTGTCCGTGTGCAATCATATATAATCCCCATAGCCCTGATGCAGCAAAAAGCATATAAACAATAAAAGCCAATGAAGGGAAGCCAAAGTCCCATTACTCAGACCTTGTTTGAGTTCAGCCAGGGAAAAGCTGTGAATTTGTAGTCTTGCTGAAGCTTTGCTGAGGTCAGCAACTCGTACCAACCAACGTCGCTGCCACAGAGTCCATTTAATATCAATCCGTGAGCGGGAGGGAGGGTAATGATGGAGACACTCAGTGCATTCTGAGGGACATCAGGGTCTTCAGCATTCAGAGTGCTCCATCCATAACACATAAGTCACCTTCCTCTATCAGTTAAAAGCAAAAAGTCAGAAGAGACAAAACAAAGTAAGGTCAGTTGTAAACATTTCAGAAAAGGATAAACAGGAACTTTAAAAACCAAAATGATAAGATAGCAAAAAATATTTCTTAATAGACTCTGTCTTTCTGATAGAGTGAAATAGTAAAACTTACAGTGGAAATGCCTGTTCTCCTATTGTTTGTAAAATCTGATTTCTGGAGACCAGATGCCCAAAAAGGGATATATTTCATAACCAAACTGCCTGAGACAGGCAAACACGCTATATTTACAGGGAGGCCCAGAAGGAAGACTAAAGGGGAAGAGCAGATCGTGCTATTGCCTTCAGTATGTTTATGTGGGTTCCTCTTCCACGTGGATACAAGCCTGCAAATTCCACAGGTGCTCCTATATTGACTTACTTTTTTTATTCAGGGACTTCTACATATCCTCATTAATGAAACCCTTGTTCACCTTGTACAGTCCTTTCCCACTCACAGCATATGCTCACAGTTAAAAAAAAAAAAAAAAACTGCATGTAACCCCATTACAGGATCTTTTCTGCACTTCAGACTAGTCTATAATATATGATAGAGTGCCAACACTTTCATTGACATATAGCTTGTTTACTTGAATGTCATGAGAAAGCAAACAAGTGAATCTAAACAATGCAGATAACTAGTTACGTGGCTAATCTGGTATGTCGCTTTGTTTTTGTAAATAAATTAGTTTAGTCTTCTATACGGGGAGAGAAACATGAAGCAGTGATCTCAACAGAATTGCTGCCCTCCATTTCCAAGGAGTCCTTGCTCAATTAGAAATGCCATTCGTTTTGATTACAGGTTTTATTTGAGTAGAACCAAATTTTACCCAAATACATTGATGGAGTAAGGACTCAAAGAACCATATCCAGAGATTGTTTCCAGCTGAAATACTGGAGCTAGGCTATATATTAAGGAACATAGGTAACTCAGAGTGGGCTGCAAGCAGAGCTGGGGGGACAGACTCTGCTAGCCAGGGGTGTCCCATGTGCAGACTCTATTTTCACTAATTGCTGTTACTTTACGACTTCCAGGCCACCACTGATGTTGTGCCAGATTCCAGCATGAGTTTTGCCTAGGAATGAACTGCAGAATTTTTTTTCCTCCTTTCTGGATAGAAATAGCTCATTAAATATTTAAATGTTCAATTAAAGAGTCACTTTGAAAAAACAAAAGTTAATATTCATTCTTTTAACATGTGGCAGATTCAGAGCAGACATGCTCTTCTCACACATTAGAATCAGAACTAGAAAATGAGCAGAATGCATTTAAAATTCTTCTAAATTGAATGGAGTCAAAAAATTCAATTAATCAAGTTTTTCAAAAGTATAAAAACAGAGTGTGTCAGAAATAGAGGCATTTTAAACCAGAAGCCTAATTCATGAAATTCTGAAATCTTCCCTTTGGAGTCTCAATTTTGAACAAGAAGTGCACAAGGTTCTCTTCTGGGGGTGAATTTTGGGGTAAATTTTAAACCTGTGGGAAGAGGTGACACATATATTTGGGAGCATGTGTCAGTAACACTCATAATGCAGCTGACCAAAACATTTCACAAACGTGTGTCAGCTTCAACAAAGTACTTTGATCAAAATAAAAAAAAAATACCCAAGCCCCACAAAACTGAAAAAGTAGTGTTTAAAAATAAAGCCTTTCAGGTTTTATTGAAATCATGTTTAAATTTAAAGCTTCATAAAATCATTAGGCAAGATGGCAAATGAAACGTTTAGATCCCACAGAAACATTTTTGCGTTTGACTTTTGAGGTAGCCAGAGAACGGCAAACGATTTTCAAAATCTGACTTAACAAAAGTTCCTTCAAATTTTCACTTTCACTGAGCAGCCTGTTTGCTCTATTCCAGAGGATAAGTTAGGGGTTATCCTGGTGCTTTGAAATTTAAATTCCCTGCTCTGCTACACCATCCGCGAGTAAGCTTGGACAAGCCCTATAACATCTTTGTGTCCTACTTTTTTCTGTAAACAGAGATTTTGCCATTTCTCTTCCTACATCCTTGTTCTGGTGATAAGTAAAGACTCAAGGGCAGAGATAAGCAAATCGCATAGGCCTTATTTGGCCCTATTCATATATGATATATTGCAAGGAATGTGATGCCCACACTCCTTTTCATTATCTTTTAAGCACAATTTACATGCAATTTAGTCTAAAAAAGCCAGATTCTACATTCAGCTTTCAGACTACTATGAGCATGATCCCGCAGCACTGAAGTCAACTTGTTTTATGCCCCTGGTATCAAAGTAAGCATAAGCGGGCATTAATCTGTGTAACACATGCAATAAGGGAAGAGCTGTTCCAGCCTCTAAAAAGGGAAGTCTCATGGACTTTTGGAGTACAACACAATGAAAAAGGAGATACCTCGATTATAGACACTCTATAAATGAAACATGGTTCAGGACCCAGACACAGTAAGTTGGGCAAATAATACCAAAAAAGATTCATAGAGCACTTGGTTGAGTTTTAAAACGGGGCTCAGCAGAGCTTTCTTAGATGAACAATTGCATGGAGGAAGCAAATTTCAAGCATCCTTCTTCCAGTGTCATCCTTAGAGAAGTCAGAGTACCCTGCTCACACATTCACTCTGGCCATGGTATGGTTCATGTTTGACATTCCAGCGGGAATAGTTTCCCAAAATTTTGGCAAAGACAGTTAAAAGAGTTGGAAAAAGTTCTGATCATGATTTTCATAATCAGAGACACCAAGGCTTCTTCTATACAAAGGGAACAAGAGAAAGAATAAGTTTAAGCCTGTAGATCTTAACATACATATTTTTCCCCTCAGTCTTTCTTTAAACAGAGCTGATAGGGGCACAGAAGAGAAAAAATAGTCAAAAGCTCTATCTATTCTTATTTATATGGTAGTAGTAATTAGGTGGCTGAAACAGTCAGTTATAGACAAGAAGTGCTTAGCTCTCTCTGTGTAAATGGAACCAATACTCTGACCTAAAGCTTGTAAGTTTTATTTATGTCCTAGTTCAGCCTGAACTGTTGCACTGCAAGTCTTGGTGGCTCCCTCCAGTCCTACTGTGGAACATGAGGCTTAAGATAACTGTCTAGGGAAGAGAAATACAACCACTTATTTTGTGCAACCAATCAACTAGAAAAATAGTTTAAATTCCAACCATAAACTGCAGTGAATATTTGCAATTGCTCATGACTAAACTGTAGAGTTTATATTAAAAAAACCTGCCAAATTAATTCAGACAAAGAAAGTGAATTGAGAGTTCCTGGCTTCTAGCCCCGTTCTTGGTTCACTATCCCAGTCCCAGATGTCCCTATGATAAATGCAAGTAAACGGCTATAGAAATAACACCAGGCTTAAGGATTCTCAGGATGAGTTCCCTGAACACTCTCAGGGGACTGTGGCAGGGTGAAATACAGGGGGGAAAACACTTTCATTAACTCATTTGCTGTTGCCCTCTGTTGCACCAAAACGCTCCGGCGTTTTTCCCCAGTGCTGGTATTTTGAAAAGAGGTAGCTTGTTCAGGATCAAAATATATGACAGTTGTTACCCCTTCTGTTTAGGCCTTAAGCCTTGAATCAACAGTAAAAATCCTGGACATGGGAAAATACAGCGCTGACAAATACGTAATTCAATTAAAAGGCTGACATTGTCTCAGCAACAGCCTTTCCCCAGATCCATCTCTTTCAGAACTCTCTGTTTTAACATTATGGCCTGCCTGAAACACTCAGCCTCATGAATGGATTAAAGAGGGTTTCACTTGTTTTATTTATTATTTTTACTGCTTTGCTTGGCTTTTTACAAACAGGGGAGGCACAGCCCTCATTTAGAATTCATTATAACATGCACATTCTTTCTTCCTCCTCTCTGCCTAGATGAGAAAGGGGAAAACAATAACAACAACAAGATTGCAACCGTTTCAAAAGCACGGAAACTCTGGTAGTTTTTCATCAACATTTAGAGATTTAAAAAGAGCAGCTTTGGAGCATAATGGCTTCAAAACCTGTATAATATACACATTTGCTGCAACACTAAGTTCTGGGATTTCAAAAAAAGGGAAAGGAGTTTATCCAATTAATTTATGTTCAAAATGATGATAAGGATTCATTATCACATTTTTTTCTTTTCAGTTTGCATTCTGATTAAATTCATTTTTTGATTTTAAAAAGTGATTCCTTGCACTCCCCCAAATATGATGTCAATATTAAAATTTCTCACTGTGATAGCTGTATATCCCTTGAAATGCATCAGTGATGCATCATATCAACAAGGACTCAAGCTTCCATTTATCTTCAAATATTTCACAATCCACTGCAGTATATTCTCAGTTGCAATTTTTGCTTTCAAGTTTGGCCACCATGTGCGTAGCATTAATTTCTCTGTTCACATGTAATTCATTCAGGGACTTACACCAGCTGAGAACCACATATGGAGGCCCAGATTTACAGAGCTTTTATTTTGTGCCATGGAAGCCTACAAGAAACAATTTTCTATTTGAATATTGAGTGTTTACAGAGGTCTTGTTGTTCACTAGAGACAGAGGATTATGAAATCATATTCTGCAAGAATTATATCCAAAAAACCTGACTGTAACATTTATTAACTCTACTTTGTTCAAATGTTCTCTGGGTTCTTAAAGGCCAATTCAACATGCCTTTTTCTCTCTCAGGGTTTGTTGTTTATTATCATTATTACTATTTAACACTTTTAAAAAAGTACTGGTCCAGCTTCAGCCAGTTCCTGCTGTCTGCCATTATGACAACTTTAAGCAACTAAGACATGGCAGCAGAGACAGGGATGATGACTGCGAAGTGGATCTCAAACAGGCCAATATGCAGGCTCTAAAGCCTAGCACTTTTTGCTACTACTATTACTGGAGTTGAAGATATGAGCGGGTATCTTGTTTGATGAGAAGCAGTCAGAAAATTATCTCTATTAAGGATATTCACACCATGCAACTCCCTAGGCTCCCTAGCATGGGTACAAGGCAACTAATGTTTTGGATTAAGAATACACTCCTATTTTATCATATTTGAGATGACTCCAAATGCAGATCTCTAAGGCTCTTTTGTGGCATTCATTTAGGCTTGCTTTGAGAACATAATGACATAGATACGGAGTGACTAATGTCCCACATAATTAATCTTGTAGCTCCTTATTTATCAAGATTCAGAGGGGAAGGGAGGGTTTTCATGGGAAGTAAGAATTCCTGAATTTAAAACTCTTAATGCTGACAACAGTCTTCAAAGGAATGCTTCAGGGTTAAATCCCCCTCTGTTGGGGACATGGATGAGACACCACCTGCTTGTGGCTGGGTGGGAAGGGGAACCTAGGAGGAAGTTGAGCATCATGGGCCTGCTGGGGAGGGTCTCAGCTCTTCCTCTGAGATCTTCTGGTCCTGATCATTGCCAGAGATCAGTAACAGAACTACAAGGGCACTGGGTCTAATCCAATACCGCAATTGAAAGTCTCCCTGTCGGAAAGGACGGAAAGCGTAAATTAACATTAATTAGGGCTCATCCATGTGGCCATTGATGTATCAGTTTAAATCAAATAATTAGAAACTGTCAATTTCTTCTTCCACCCAAGACCCAAATCCTGTAAACACGAGGACCATAACAACTCCCTGAAGCAGGCTTTAGCACACATATATTGAAAACATACTAAACTATAAATACTGTATACCATATGGCAGCTAGATTATCTAATTTCACTTCATAACTGGTGATAAAATGACCAATCAACTGACATGTAGAATAAAATGCCAAGCCAACTATTCAGCTAGCTTTAAGACAGCTCTGAGGTTTGAATATATCCCATTGCATCCCTAAAAATAAGGACACACTTATTTCACTGACACTAAGAGGATGGACACAGCGGGAATCTGTGTAAGACCAGTTCTGCCAAAGCTAATTTGTACTCATTCCTCTGCATGTATGGCCTCTGCCTATCCAAAATAAAAATTATGTAAATTTAAAGGTGGGGAGGCTAGATTAGGAGGACACCTAGATTTCACCAAAGGAGAAATTTTGCCCTGCCCATTTATTTATATGAAAAAAAATATTTGGTGCAGGGACCACTTGTTCCTCCGATTTTTGCAGACTTCTTAAAGCAGTGGCTCATCATGAAGGCTTCTAAGCAGTACTGCAGTACAAACAACAGAAGAACTTCATTATGTATTTTTCCTACCACACCTCATCTTTTCTTCCCTTGCTATTAAAATCAATTAATTTAATCTCTGCACAGACCACAGCTCTAGTGTTCTGCTTTCCTTAATCACAGGGAGCTCCTACTCCTACTGATCTGTACTGGGAGACATCAGCCCTTGGAAATAAATTGATGTTTTGCCTTTGAAGACCAAGGTCAAAGTTACTATTATATTCCTGAGTTGAAGAAAAGAGATTTGTCATTTACATCAATTCATGACGACACAGAAAGGAACCACTCTGGACTTACTAAAGGCCTTCACTAACAGAAATCTCAAAGCAATCTGCAACAGACCCTCAATGTTCATGCTTGGACGGAATGTAGTTGCTATAACCTGCTTATAGATACCATAAATTGAATGAAACTTGGAGTTATGCAAAAGATTAAAAACACACATTTTTTTAAGCTGGTTCTAAAGCACGCATCAGCTTATTTCCAAGTTAAATGCCAATGTCCTCAGCTCTGATTTTATGGGGGCATAGCCCCAGAAGCAGTGAGATCTATCAGTTTACAGATCCATTTCCAGGAGAGTGTTAGAAAATGGCTTTGTTGGCTCATTTAAAATTAGCTTGGGTACAGCAGTTACGAATATACTGTGCAGAAAATTGTGCACTGAATGATAACCAAATAGGTTGCTATGATTTGATGCTATTTTAATAGCTAGTGATTAACCAAATGAATGCCATTTGGTCTAGCCTGATTTGCCAAATGGTTCCTCTCTCCTGCCATACAGGCGATTATAAAGTAGCGCCCCATAAAACCATGGGCTTTTACCACATTAAACTCAAATAAAATAATTTTTAGACAAATAGCAGTACATTGTAGGGTATATACTCACATCAGTCCCAGCATAGCTGCTCTTGCAGCCAGGTGAGGGAAGCTTATTTTCTCGGAAGCCATACTGAGGGTTTTTCTCTAACAATGAGGTCCTTCGGCTCTTCTTCAAAAGCATTCAGATATTTCAAATGGATACTTGCTTAAGATGCCCCATGCATCACGCGTTCCTGAAAAAACAAAGATTTACACTACACTCGTCTGAACAAACTGCTTCCTTGCATCAGTTATCAAGAACTGGTCATCTGATAAAGCCAAGAGACTGCCATACACCAATAACTGCTTGTTTTTAAATGCAGTGATTATCAACTTGAGAACTACTGCGTGTTTGGTGATTTTTGTTACTTAATTCATTGAGACTGGAACCCTGCAAAGGGCAATGCATTGCCGCTGTTAAGCCAGGAGCAGAACAGAAAACAAATCCCTTCCTGATTTCTTCTTCTGTACAAAAGGGATTTATTTTCAATCTTTCCTAGATCTACCCACGCTAGCTGCAGAGGTTGTGGCCCTGAGACATTTATCTTTCTTTCCCGCTGGAAATTGCCCTGTGACTATGTGAGCCCTTGCTTCAACCCCTCAGCCCCAGGGGCATGGAGTGGAGGTGGCCCAGACTCCACTGCTCAGCCCAGGGCCGTAACTTCAGTTCAGTACAGCAGGTACAACAGAGCTTGATCTCCTCTGCTCGGAAGTGCTGGGCAGCACTTTATGGAGGTGAAGAGAAACCATAGCACTGCTCCCAGCACACTCATGCAGGAGCAGAGGTAGGAGCATGATGGATAAGCATGACAAAGGCCCTCAGGAGCCAGACCCTAAGGCTCCAGTGCTACCATTCAAAATTTAGCCTGGACATCTTCTAATGGAAGTGGTTTTTTTAATTATTATTTTTAAATGAGCAATATGACGTAGGGAGTATGCATGTGTGCGAGAGAGAGAGACACGGAACAAATGCACATGCTGTGGGAAGCATAATTTAGGAGATGTGAAAAGGTAAGTGGGAAGTATTAAGAAATTAGGCACATTACTAAGCCCTGTTTGTTATTTTATGTCTAAATTTCATTTTATCTATATTACGCGAAATCTTTCTTTTTCTTTTTTTCTCCACATGGGTTATTTTTATGAAAGGACATTCTGACTGGCACCTCGGCACCAACAAAAGTATGTATTGGCTGTACAGGGCCAAGAGTCTTGTCCTGTCCCCTCAGGATGCATTAACTAACGCTACTGCACTGGCTCATATCTCTGCCCAGTTCTAGCTGATGCCAGAGGTTAAATTGTCGCTAGTTTGAACTCTGAATAGCTCTTCATATACACAATGCATGTTAGTATTGCTCTTGTTAGGAGTCTGATACATGGATGAACCCTTTGCTCCTTCGCTGAGGAACCCCCTAGCTCCCTAGTCCTGCCCTGCAGCCTGTCTCTCTGTAAGTAACATCCCACTCACAGCTGCACCTAAACTACTTCTAATTCCACCCTGCAAGGAACCTGCTCTTAGAAAATCCTCTAAGAGTGCCAAGGCATCGGCATACAGCTCTACAATCAGACCTTGGTGTTGTGCTTCTTAAATCTCATACCCAGTGCAAAGTAGGACATGCTTTGTAAGGGAAGCAATGAGGGAAGAGGAGAGGAAGATAAGAGGAAAAATGAAGCAGCACTCCATAGAGAAAAGCTGTGTGTGAGGACAGCCTGCGATTTGAACTTGGAAGGCAGCAAAGGGGTATGGTGAAGCACAGAAAATGAAGTAAAGGCTGGAGAAAGAAGAAGAAAATAAGAGAGAGAAGAAATAAGTGTAAACAAAATACTGCAGCATGAGCATGAAGAGCTTAAAAGCACTACAAAGAAGTACCTCTGATCCAATAAAATGCTGAGAACCGGTTAAAAGAGGAATAATACCTCTCACTCACCAGTATTACCAACTAGAGATGATCCTCAGTAATTCATAGCCAGTGAGGAATTAGATATTGTACAATTAAGCAAAATAAACAACCACAACAACAAAATAAGCCTGAGCAAGAACTCTATTTTCTGTGATTAGCAGTGCAAAGAATTAATACTTTGAGTGCTTTTCTGGGTGATGTCTCAACGGCCTTTGTATCTTTGGTCCAACATTAGGTTAGGTTTTTTAACTTTACTATTTAACTAGTAATTTTTCTCTGTACAAAGCCTGAACAAAAAGGACAAAGCAAATATATTAACACATAACATAAAAATTCATACTGCTTTGAAAACAGTCAAAAAAAAAAAAAAGAAAAAAAAATGGTTTAAAAGAGTTTCTTACTCAGTAATTAATGGCCCTCACCTGAAAGTTCTCCAAGACTCCTACAAACTACTTAGAGCCAATACTACAGAATACTTTAGCAGGTATTTTGCTCTGTGCAGACCTGTGGGGATCTTCTTGTATACAAGAAAAAAAAAAGTACGTGTTAAAATGCTTTGCTGAACTGCATACAATAGCAGACTAATTTTTGTCTCTATTTTATGAAAGATGAAATGGGGACATGGGAGCTTTTAATGTCAATGTTATCAGAAATTGTGGTTTCTTCCACCTTTTGGGATTGACTGTCAGAGGCACTGGGCAACACCACCTTCTTCTGCTCTTGTCACTAGACAATGCCTCCTTCTTCCACAGACAAGCACAGTTCCTGTGTTATCTGAGAAATTTGCATTTCATTTCTCCGTTACATGAGATAGCCACGTTGTGTTGCTGCACAAAGAGGGGTTTTGTTTCATAACCAAAGGCAGGCAAATAACTAGCTATTGAAATTTAAAAGGAATGGAATAATGTGACAAAATGCCACGTTGCTGGAATGCTTCTGTTAAAGACCGTGCTTGCACAGATGGAGCAGAGCCTTGTCACCAGTGACCTTGTTCACTCTTCCGCACCAGTTGCATTTTCCAAGTTCCTTACTCCTACTGTAGCTATGGACCTTCCATTCTCAGTGGTATTGCTACTTGCCAGCATGAATCTCTGAAAGGGAAGTCTTAAGCAAATCATTTAAAAAGAAGAAAAAAACCCACAGAGGAAAATTACATCACATTGATGTACCAAAGAAAGCTACCTCTGTGTTGTTGCAGCATGACCACCTGCCCTTCAAAACCCTGCATTTCAGATTGCCTCATCATCTCAGAAAGCTGCTCCAGTGCTACCAAACCACCATACTTAATAACCTGGTTCTATCCAGCAGTTCAAAATGATTCATTCATAGCAAGGAATTTTCTAATGCAATCTTTGTAGGAAATTGGGATTACATACCTTCTTTGAATTGTTACTGATTCTACAGTAGATACGAATCCCAATGCCATACAGACACTCAGAATATTGGGAGCATCTTGACATTTTCCAAAACTTCAGGCAAGATAGCTAAGCAAGGTATCGTGACCTGCAGTAGCAGAAGAGAGATGGTGGCATGTGCTAGTAAAGAAGTACGATCACTGAGGAGCCCTAGATATGTTTTCTGGTTTTTAGCCTGTACTGATGCTCACCCTGCTTTAGAGTTATTTGAGATTGCATTTGCAACTACACTTGCCTCACACTAGAATAACACTTTCCTGATTGCAATGATACATTATTTTGGTCCTTTTCTATTCTCGTTTATGCTTTCTCCATTCTCTTCCATATTGCTCAGTGTTTGGAATCTGTGTTTAGTTTTTAAAGTAATTCACTTAAAGCCTAGATTACACCTCCTCCTGTCCGGTGGCAGCAGGTGAAGGGTAAGATGCCCTCACAAAAGGAATGGCGGCAATTGCTCAGCTGCTAGCATATTCTATAGAGGATGAGGCTGCAGCCTGGGACTGAAACCCCACAGAGGCTGGCACATGCTGCCTATCAGTTTAGAAGTAGGTGGCACTTGAGAGCTCCCCAGAGGTCCAGTGACTCACGTCGCATCACAGCGGGGGATTGCTGCTGAGAAGAACCACTCCCAGTAATGCTTTACTGCCAGAAAGCAACTTCTGTTTAGGGCCAGAGCTCTTTCCCAGTCTGAAGTGTGCGTGTGGAAGAAGAGCATTCCCTGGGAGGGCTCTTTACAAGGAGGTTGTCACAGATTCCCAATGAAGAGGGCTTCCTCGCCTCATCATCACAGACAGGCACTCCAGTGAGACCTAACCACAGTATGTAATCCCCTGCGCTTGTTAGGGCACTTCCAGGGCTGCTTTTTATCACTTCCTTGCTGTAGCAGAGCACTGTACCTCACCTTCAAGTGGTAGAGATGAATAAAAACACCACATACTTGAGCATCCTTACACCAGGAGAGCATCTAAACTGGCAACTCAGCACTTCCTGGCATGGCCAGCACTCAGCCCTCCTTGGCACTGTGCACAACGTAAGGCAGGAGAAGAGACCACAGGCCATGTAGAACCCCAGTATTCTGTATATTTCCTCCAAGAGCTGAAGTGCTTTTTTAAGGGATATTAAAATGCAGCAAACCAAGAAAATTATTCCCAAATATTGAGCGCAGCCTTAATCAGGCAAACTCCCACTTCAGCCTTCAGCATAAGCAAAGGCTACAGGATACACAGATTGTAATTAATTTGCTAAAATGGGTCTGAACTGTATATATTGCAGAGCTGTAGTACTCTGGCTATAAGGACTTCAAATATTTTGAGAAGTAAACTGGAAACACTTAGTCAAATTAAGTGTTTTCTTTAAGCTGTCAGCATTGCCAGCACTGCCAAAATGAACAGGATAAATTGGATTAGATGCTGTCTATGTTTCAAATCCTAATGGCAAAGGATCCAAAATGTAAAGCAATGCACAGAGGCAAAGCAAATATTACATACTGTCTGTAAAGCAGCAGATCTCTCAGTTTACTGATTAACCAAATAGTCTGAAATAGCATGACTCATCTCTAAAGACAAGCACAATGTTGCCGTTGGCTCCCATGCAGCATCCAGTTTATAGCAGTGCGGCATTCTCTGCCTGCTCCACAAAGAATTTTACCACTGAGGAAACAGCATGATTTTGATTCAGCCCATGATAAGTCCAGGCCAGACTGCAGCGGCAGAACAATATAGCCTTAAGTATAGACTAAAAAAAATATAGATGGTAATTTAGGTTAAGCATGAAAGAGAAAGTGTTAGATAACATACCCATATGAATCTTGGGCCATTGATTATCAATGGGCAGGAACGTAACATTCAGGTCATAAAACGGGAGAGGAGCATGAGGTAGTAGAGGTGGACGAAGTTCATCAGAACAGCAGCCATTCGTTATACTTGTCCCTCTGTCAGAGATTGTGGAGTGATTGTGTTCAAGTGAGAATGATGTCTTATTTCACCTCCTAGGGAGGAATAGAGGGTACAGATCCAGAAATCACACTCTGAAGGAACACATAAACCAACCAAGAACATGAGGAAGAACATCAGTTCTCCTCTTGGAAAACAGCTCAAGTATTTGTAAACGTTTAATAATTTAACATAGATTTACCTATTCAGATTTTGATCTGAGTTAAATGTGACTTTCAAAAAAAAAGTATAGTTCTGAAGTCAGCCTTCAGAATTAAAGGTTAAATGACCAGTAACTAGTCCCGCAGAGCTAATGTGAATCCCTGGTACTGGAATGGTAAGATTTTTAATAACAAAGTAACGCAAAACATTATTACTTCAGTAGTGTCTTCTATGAAGATCCTCTGTGCTCTCTGTAAAGACAAAAGTTGCACTGCTTAATAAGGTAGTGAAGGTCTGTATTATTTCTATTGGTTAGTTGGAAATAGAGTACGAAATGTGAGGGTTGAGGAGTTTTCTTCAGGGGGAGGATGGGTAAATCTCAGCTAAAGTTTTGAAGGGATTACCCAGAGTTCTGGTCATCACCTTCTGTCACCTCCTGTCGTGAACAGTCAGGATGTAGACCTCTTTCACAGATAGATTATGCTCCAGTTTTGAAGTTTCTTTGCCTCTATTTGAGATGTGTTCAGAATCTTTGTACTCTGTTGGATAGAAATTGTCCTTTAATTGCTAGCCTGAATTTCTTCTTGGTGGTTTATATCTATTTGGTGTTGTGCCAATATTGCCTGCTAGCCTAAAAAGTTTAGTCCCCCTCGACATACACATTTATTCCCTCAAGGTAGTTAGAAGTAATTCTGTCTCCTTCTTAGGCTTTGCTTTGCTGAGCTCTGTAAGCCAAACTCTTAATTCTCTCTTATGATAGATGCCATTCTTCTGATCATGCAGCCAGTTTTTTTCTGTTCTTGGTTTGGCTTGACTTGATCTTTACAGAACGTGCCTGCCTAGAAGATATCTTCCCAGTACTCTACAACAGCATTAGTAGTTAATTCATACTGGAAATTCCTGACTGACTAATGACATGAGGACTAAGCACCTCAGAAAGCTAAGGCTGAGGTGTCTCTAAGCTGACTCACTACCCCATCCCTTTACCCTCACCCCCAACTTCTAAAGGGAAGCAGGCAAAACAGGCAAATGTCTTGGAAAATTTAAGTCTAAGGATACATAGAAAATCAATAGCAAAATCAGAAATAAACCTCAAATAAGTCATTTACTTAAACCACATGGACACAAATATCAAACAGGAGTATCTAAAACAGCAACAAATCATGATAAGTAGCTAAAACCCAAAAGTTGTCATCACCATGTCTGGACAGAATTTTGACAAGCACTCAGATAAATTTTCTCCGTCTTCTTTTTCCACAGAAAGTTGATATTTTGAACAGAAATTCTCAAGTCAAAAGCTGTACATCAATTTTTAGTTCTAGCAAAAAATTAAAACTAGACACAGAAAGCAGATGCTTTTCACTAAAGCTTTTCTTCATGTAAAAACCTATTCTTTCAACATAAAGTTGGTTCAAAAAATTTCTAACCAGTTCTAAACAGTAAAGGTAGATATAGTTCCCAGTGGAGACAGACTACAGATGCATGTTAACATCTGTTCATCTGACGGTGTACAAATTCTTTAGAAAACAAAAAAAGGCTTCTCTTCAGTTATGTAGTGCCAGCAAGCATTATAGAGGGAACAACTTTAAAGTTAATCTTAAAAAAAAAAGTGTGTAGGTTATTAAAATAAAAAAATACCAATTATGTAAGGAATGGTTTTTGCATGTAACGTTCAATGCTATAAATTGAGTGGGCCTCAATGCCGTGCTAAAATGAAAAAATAACCTTTTTGTCATTCTCAAAATCAACTGCATCTTTAAGAAAATCGGAAAATAGCTCTAAGAAAACCTAGGGGATCTCATAGAATATATTTCAGAAAATCCAAGAGACACAGAAGAGCTGACTTCCACAAAGGCTCAGTGCAGCTGATCTCAAGGCAGATATGTATTATTTAACAGCAACTAGGAGGCATCTACTTAAAAAAACAGTACCTGCCAGGAACAGTATTCAGAAGGCTAGCACAAAATTGGCAGTGATTAGAAAGTCCATTCTGCCCATGGGATAAGCAACTCTGCTGCTGGGGGAAAGAGCAGAGCAGCAAGGAAAGCTGTTTTCTATCTCAGAAGCTGCTACAGTCACAGGTGGAAAGAGAAATCTAAAAGGAACTTGAAAGAAAGATTAATGTATTGAAGTAGAGCTCTTCTCCAGGCCAAAAGCTTGAACACTAAGCTGCTAAGCTTGATATGTGTACAAGGGTAGAATAGCTGCTGCAGTAGAAAAGTGAATAATAACAGGTCTGGGGGTGAGGAACCAGCCCAAATACCAAGAAACAAGTTACTTGTTTTTTCCCCCTATATAATTAGTATATTTTAAAAGATGATTGTCTTTTAATGTTCTTTCATTTCAAAATATACATGAGAAGAGGAGCAGGGAGAAACTCTGCATATTCCTTTGTGTACTTAAGCACAGCTTTAAAGTACAGTCAGGAAAGTGGCATGGGAAAGAAAATGGCCTGAAAAAACCACAACATTTAAATAATAGTGCCACTTAAAACAACAAGGATAATAGGGCAACTTGAGTTCAAGGAAATTATACCAGGTAATTCAGTGCAGCAACTAGACAGGTCTGGGGCTCAGTCCTGGAAATCTAAATAGTCTGAAATCATTCCCAAAAGTAGACAATTTAGTATTTGTTTAGGGTGCCTGGACAATAAGTTAGTGTTATGTCATTGCACAGTTGTGCACATAAGCCCAGCGAAACCAAGGTGAGTAAAGACAGCACAATCTGATCCCAAGAAAGGAACATTCCTGCACCATAGATTCCCCAGAAAACACACACACACTCATCTCCAGAAATCCTTAACCTCACACAAACTACTCAGTTACAAATCTCAAAATAACAAAAACTCATCATATTTTTAAATTACTCTGTCAGACTATTAAACACTGTTTATGATAGGCAATAAGTAAGAAACAGGCATTTAAAAAGAGTAGATAGAAGTGTGATTTTTCTTTTTAAATATCTGTGCCAAAAGTTACATTTGAGATTAAGATAGTCATGCACTAAACTTATTTTAATCAATTTAAATGAAAAATACTAAAGCAGTACCTTTATGCCAAAGTTTTATACAAAGTCCAGCCACTGAATGGGATGATGCGATTAGTGACCCAAACTACTGTTTGTGGAAGTGGTAAAAGTCAGCTTTAGACAACTATAGCTGCTTCCATAGCTGCAAAGGGAACATTTTCTTCATGTCAATTTATATTTCATTTCATTCAGTTCAGTAACTACTTCATTTAAGTTTAGAAACTGGTGAGGAGCTGAGATGCAGGAATGTTTGTTTTCTCTCTTCCAATTGATGAGAACAAACCAGCATTAAAGTATGATATCCACTAGTCCTAAGACCTTGAAAGATAAATGGTGACAAAACCATCAGATTGATTAACTGAGAGCATTCTTCTTTCAATAACTTATCAAGCTTTAAAATACACGATATGCTTTACCTTTATTTCGTGATATACCTAGCCAATTTCACACAGCTTCAGTTAGCAAATAAAATGTCTTTATAAAGCTACTGCTTTGCAATTATATTTGAATTACGATTTTCTTCCAAAAGCAGGTTGTTACAAATCATAAGTGGCATAAAACATCCTGATAATTGGACAGATCAGGCACTGTAGCCTAACTTAATGTGAGGCAAATAGGGACAGTTAGAAGTACTCATGCCACTGGTTTCCATGATTTAAATTCTACCCACTTGCTCAAACCCCTTGGACTGATCTGTAGTGTAAGCCTTTAGAGCAAGATATGAGATGATTTATTACAGGGGAGCTATTGTCTCTTAGTGCCTTCTGTACAGACCTATACCGCTTCTTATTGCATGTTAAGTTATATCTTTATTTACATGTATATACAATGTATTATCCTCCTGTTTCTCACAAACAAGTACCAAACAGCCTGTCCTACTGGTGTACAGTGAGATTTAACCTCTCCTTAGGAATGTAACTCAGTGTTGCAAATGCAGAACAAGTTTTAAAACATGATTTAAATCAAGATTAAGAAGCCTAATGATCTAAATCACTTTTAACTCAATTAATTCTCATAAACAAGATAAAAAAAGGAAAAGAAAGAAGCTACAGACATTGTCAGAAAGATCAAAATTCTGTATTATCAGTTTGGATATAGGAAATGGATCTCTGAATTATATTCAGTTGGGAAAATTTATCCACTGTGACTTTTGCCCTTTGCATCACCTCATGTGCTGGAGCTTGGGTAGTCACATACATCAGCTCCATGTCACTGCTGCCAGCATCTGTTGCATGCAGGTATTTGGGGCTGATACTTGCCTCCCTCCAGACACTCCAGTCCTGCCTTTAATCTTGGCTGCAGCTTTGGAGGCTCATCATTCGCCGGCATAATCTGAACAGAAGAAGAGAAGATAAAGGAGGAGGTGATTTCTAAGCATAAGCAAAAATAAAATACAACAAATATCCTGTTTGTTTTCTCATCCTAACAATGCGCTTCCCCTCCATGACAGCAATGTGGGAACCTGTGTTATAGACAAGTAATCCTAAATGATAGCCTTAAAGAGATAATATATTTAGAATCATTTATATTAACAGACCTTTATTTGATTGTTATGGTTAATTGATCAGTACCTGGCTGTATCTTTCTGGGACACCAATGTCTGTTAGAAAGAACAGAGCGTGCTAATGCTAAACTATAAAGCATGCTCTCCTGTGGTTTCTAGTCTTGCTGAATTTTACTTCCAGTCATGTTAAATTTTATTACTTGAATTCTTTTCCCCATCAGATTTTAGGTAGGTAGGATTTTATTGTACCACCAAGTGCAGAGTAAACTTTCCAGAGAGAATTCTAGTTTTTCATTATATTTCCAGGGTCCACAGATAGCTGGAAAACTAAATATTTCAGCTGAAGACCAAAGCATTCAGCCCGAGTATTTCATGGGACTTGTAATTTTGGTGTTGCATGCTTATATTCTGGTCTAGAAGCCTAATCAAACCATATTCATCATAGCACTCTATGGCTAAGGACTCTCACCAGGGAAAAGAGCTCATAAAGAAATCAACAGAGAAGCAGCCTCACCAGACACCAAAACCCACAGGAAAGAATGTCAGCAGAAAGCATCTGTGGTGCAGCATCCACAGAAACATGTTCAAGAGAAAATATATCAATTTTCAGCAAAAACAGCATGTTTTATATTCCTACCATAGAAAAATAAGCCAAAATTTTTCATGTGTGACCTAGATTTT